GGACTACTACCCCTTAGGAGAAACCAAAGCATCCAAGCAGAGATTAGTAACATCAAAGTGCTGTACATGAATACAGATGGAATTACAAATTAAGGGTTAAAGTTACAGGAATGGATGGCAAAAGGAAGATCCACACATCACAATAATGGAAATGTAACTATCAAGTGTTATAGGAAATGCAGCCTTCCCACAGCCTTGTTTGTGGTGTGGGGGAAAAAAAGTAGTTAGTAAACAGTTGATTGACAGTTGAGAGGCGGGCCGAAAGAGCAAAGCTCAACCCCGCAAACACAACTAGGTGAATACAAGAATATCGCGTAATAATGCTAGCTTGGGTGAACAGGGGTGGAGGTAGTGTAGCCCCCTACTGCTAACAACTACACTGCAGCTTTGAGGAAGTAAAATTATCAAAATAAACCGATAAGCAAGATTACATTCTAGGAATAGCAACAGTTGGTGACGTGAAGTTAATGGTAGCGATGATTTAAGACCCGCTACCAAACAATATGATAAAGGCAACGAGACTTGGCTAACAGTAGTGGGAAAAACACCCTCACTGGCGAGGGTTACGATTCTAATTCTTTGGGACGTTAGAGAAATAGACTCGAGAAATAAGGACCCATTTTGGAGGAGATAAAACGTGAAGAGCAAAACTTTTAGACGCAGTGGACGAACACTTCCTGAAGCAAAATTAGTTATATGATAGTTATGCGATCGTGCGCATCACGTTCTTAAGTTACCTTCAGTATAACAACACATTCTAATATCTGTTTTTTGTAACTGTTGTCTTGGACGAGAACAGTAGGGAACACAGTTAACCCCAGCACACACACTCGAAGAGTTCCCTGTTTAAGAAATGTTTCTTGTATACGAAATCGACTATGATTAAAGTTTTTGTGTACGGAACCGATTGTATACGAAACGCGTGTATAGTATTTGACTAGACCTATGCTAGGATGTATTAGCTTAGTTTACACTGCATTTCGCTAGGTTAAATTAGGTTGTTCTAGGTTAAATTAGGTAGATTTCAAAAATCCGTTGGCGTGTATAATGTGACTTGTATCCGAGTTGGGGGTCCTTGGTGCCTCGCTTCCCTCCACACTTCACCACACCAGAAAAGACTTGCCCTCACCTGCAATATCTCTATAGAATGATGCATTTGCATGCAAAATTTAGAAAATATTTGTCTTTTGTCGTAGAGACGTCGATGTGACAATTTTGATGATAGTTAAGTTTTAAGGGTTAAGTATTACAATGTTGGTCATGACGGAGTTTATATGTGACTGAATTTGATAACATTTGATGTATATGATAAAAACTAATGGCATACCACTAGTATGTCCCCACTACCATTATTTAAGTGGGTGTAGCCTAACAGCTTAAAGCTAACATTGCATTTTCAGATTTCATTTTAATATAATTTAATAGATGGATAAAAGATGAGCGAGACGTGACCTAAACGACTGTACTAATAACAAAAATTGCTATATAGAAGTAAAATAGCTTTTGTGCATCAAGTGAAGTGTAGCCTCGCCCGCCACCAGCATGACGACCCTTGTTGGGATCTTCGGAGCAACAGTTCTTGTTGCTAGTTACTTTGCTGTAAGAATTTGTTCCTGATGCATGCATACATGCTTGCTTGCTTGCTACTACAGTTATGCCTGTCTTGCACCCCCCCACACACTGCCCTTTGTGTGTTCGTGTGTGTGGGTGCTTGTCTTGCTTTACGCACTGTCCTGTGTGTATGGGTGTACTCACCTATTTGTGCATGCAGGATCGAGCATTAGCTCTTGGACCCCGCTTTTCTAGCCGTTGGTTTTCTAATGCAATAATCCCCCTTGCCTATCTCGTTATCACACCTGCTTTTAAAGTTATGAATGGAGTTTGTCTCTACACTCTACTCCTTTAGGTCATTCCATTTACTCACTACCCTTACGCTGAAGGAAAACTTTCTAACATCTCTATGACACATCTGAGTCTCAAGCTTCCACCCGTGGCCCCCTTGTTCTGTTGATATTAATTGTAAACAATTCCTCTGTTTCCACCCTGCCAGTCCCACTAAGTATGATTTATACGTCGGTATCATGTCCCTCCTTCTTTCCAACGTGGTCAGGTTTAGCTCATTCATTCCCTCTCCGTACCTCATCCCTCGCATCTCTGGGACGAGTCTCGTTGCACACTTCTGCACTTTGTCGAGCTTCCTTATGTGTTGTTTTAGATGGGGTTCCAGGATGGTGCGGCATACTCTAAGACTGGCCTCACATAGGCGGTATACAGTGATCTAAAATACTCCATATTCAAGTTTCTGAAGGATGTGTGTGTGTAATTACCTAGATGTAATGACACGTAGGTAATTACACACATAGCATACTGTACAGTATGCTATGTACAGTAGCATATTGTATTATACAATAGCATACTATAATGTACTGTAGCATACTTTACAGCAGCATACTATACTATACAGTAGTGTACTGTACTGTAGCACTCTACTGCACAGTAGTGTATTGTGCTGTACTGTGCTGTATTATACAGCACTGTACTGTGCTGTATTATACAGTACTGTACTGTGCTGTATTATACAGTACTATACTGTGCTGTATTATACAGTACTGTACTGTGCTGTATTATACAGTACTGTACTGTGCTGTATTATACAGCACTGTTCTGTGCTGTATTATACAGCACTGTTCTGTGCTGTATTATACAGCACTGTTCTGTGCTGTATTATACAGCACTGTTCTGTGCTGTATTATACAGCACTGTTCTGTGCTGTATTATACAGTACTATACTGTGCTGTATTATACAGTACTGTACTGTGCTGTATTATACAGTACTGTACTGTGCTGTATTATACAGTACTGTACTGTGCTGTATTATACAGTACTGTACTGTGCTGTATTATACAGCACTGTTCTGTGCTGTATTATACAGTACTGTACTGTGCTGTATTATACAGCACTGTTCTGTGCTGTATTATACAGCACTGTTCTGTGCTGTATTATACAGCACTGTTCTGTGCTGTATTATACAGCACTGTTCTGTGCTGTATTATACAGTACTGTACTGTGCTGTATTATACAGTACTGTACTGTGCTGTATTATACAGTACTGTACTGTGCTGTATTATACAGTACTGTACTGTGCTGTATTATACAGTACTGTACTGTGCTGTATTATACAGCACTGTTCTGTGCTGTATTATACAGCACTGTTCTGTGCTGTATTATACAGCACTGTTCTGTGCTGTATTATACAGCACTGTTCTGTGCTGTATTATACAGTACTGTACTGTGCTGTATTATACAGTACTGTACTGTGCTGTATTATACAGTACTGTACTGTGCTGTATTATACAGTACTGTACTGTGCTGTATTATACAGTACTGTACTGTGCTGTATTATACAGTACTGTACTGTGCTGTATTATACAGTACTGTACTGTGCTGTATTATACAGTACTGTGTTGTACTGTACTATACAGTACTGTACTGTGATGTACTATACAGTACTGTGCTGTGATGTACAGTACTGTGCTGTACTATACAGTACTGTGATGTACTATACAGTACTGTAGTACTGTACAATACCATACTGTACTGTACAATCAAAAACTCTAGTCATAAATGGACGTATATTTACAATTTGGAAAGCTTACATAAAAGTACTGAACAGTGCATTAATTACATAAATATGTCACAGTAACAGAAAAGGAAGTAGACCTTGTCATTATTAACATCAGAAACTTAATTGGTAACAACTTATAGAAATAATTTAAATGCCGGCAAGACCAAAACATTGTTTAGCAATATAAACAAAAATTATGTTTTAGGTGTAAAGTGAATAAAATTTAGCTGAGAATTAGAAAAATGATATAATGTAAAACTTGGCCAACATCAGAAACTTAATTGGTAACAACTATAAAATTTAGCTGAGAATTAGAAAAATGATATAATGTAAATACACTACATATATATGACAAAATTAGAATGATGAATCAATTAGCAGTCTACATCCTGATTAGTTATCAATTTATGATGATGACAATGCTCCAAAGGAGCACCTGATCAACCAGGCTGTGACTCATACGTCAGGCTGCGAGCAGCCGCGTCTAACAGCCTGGTTGATCAGTCCAGCAACCAGGAGGCCTGGTCGACGACTGGGCCGCGGGGACACTAAGCCCCGGAAGCACCTCAAGGTATGCCTTCAGTGGTATTCTTTCTTGTGATCCAGTCTGTGATTCTTCCTATGTCTACATCAATTTATGAGATGACAATGCTCCAAAGGAGCACCTGATCAACCAGGCTGTGACTCATACGTAGGCTGCGAGCAGCCGCGTCTAACAGCCTGGTTGATCAGTCCAGCAACCAGGAGGCCTTCTCCACTCAAGGTTGTTCTGCATCTCGTGCTGTGTTGCATATTATAATTAACAAATTCTTGTTTAGTTACCAGCCACAAATGTCATATTGTTGTAATTGCCAAAATCCCTTATATGAATTAATAATTCATTTAAGGTTCAGAAAATATTGCACACTGAAGCCATTAACTGTACATCACTACTTCAGTTTTGTCTAATGCATCCTTGTCTTGGATACTGCTCTCACAGCTGGGTAAAATCTTCTCATTTAAATCATATACAGTACTTTCCTTTCATATATGACCAGTTAATACACAACTTTATTCGCTAAGCAATATGTTATCATGTACAATCTTTCTGTTGCTAACTCTGCTGCTGCATTTTCCCCTCTACAGCCATGTTATAAAATCAATTATAGCTCATCTTTCCTTACACCTGATCTTCAGTCCATATTTACCACTGCAAATTGTTTACAAGTACTAACAGTATCTTACCTCCTGATTTTGAACTGTACAAACACTATAATAAAATGTTATACACTTCACATCATACCATAATAACACCCTCCAGAACTTGATGCTAATATTTTTAGTGTTGTGATGGTGGGAGTCATATCTATATTTGTGGCCTGTGTTGTCCCAACAGTTGACCTTCGGTGCGGGCATGTATGCTGGCATCTACGTCACTCAAAACTACGATGTACCTCGTGTTGATGAACCCTCCAAACTCTGGGAGAAGGTCAAAGACTGGGCCGATTCACACAAGAAGAAGGACTAGCGACACTGCGGTAAGGTTGTGTGTATTTGTGAAGTGGCGTGAATGTTGAGCTGTTACTGATAACATGTATATGTATAGAATCTGTGTGTAATTACCTAAGTCATATTCTTACAGGTAAGAAGTACGCACATGATGTCCCATCTCACCTATAATCTTTTATCATTTAACACTTTAAAACCTCCGAAAATTTTGCATCCACTGCCTTCTCGCGTAAATTAGTCCAACCATCCTTTTCTATTATTTATTATTAACAAGCTTAGCTACACAGCAGTGTAGTCATGGAATCAGAGAAAAACATAAGATGCAGGTCTAGTCTACCGGCCTGCACTAGCAAACTTTGGGTAGAGTATGAGAATATTTTCTAATATTCATGTGAATTAAACATTTACAACCCTCAAAGAATCCTAAGCCATTTGGCCTAAAATCATTGATAATAGGGCATTCACAAATATAGTGTTGAAGAATATATTCTAGCACAGATTACAATTGGAGTGCTTACCACTGAGGGATTCATTACCTGTAGCCATCTCTACTATAACTACCTCCTGGAATTTCTTATCGAGTTCCTTGCACACTTCCTTGTCGTTTTTAGTGAATTTTTCTACCCCTATCCTCCGTTTCATTACCTGTTTCTTCACTTTTGTTTTTCTCCTGATGGGGCTGTGCAGCAATTTAGGTCGAGTCTTTGCCTTGCTTGCTATGTCATTTTCATTCTGTCTTTCTGCCTCTCTTCTCACCCTGATGTATTCATTCCTGGCACTCTGGTATCTTTCTCTGCTCCCTAGTGTCCTGTTATTTCTATAGTTTCTCCATGCCCTTGTGCTTAGTTGCTTTGCTAGCTTACATCTCTGATTAAACCATGGTTCTCTCGTCTGCATTTATTTTTTTCCTTTTGAACTGAGATGAACTTGTCTGCTGCCTCCTTACACTTCTGTGTGGTGTAGTCCATCATGTCTTGGCCCATCTTTCCTCTGAGCTCGGTTTCCAAAGTTATATCTGATAGGAATTTTCTTATCTCCTCATAGTTTCCCCTTTCGGAATGCCAGCCTTTTGTTTTATGGTCCCTTCCTTGAGTGCATTAACCCTACTTCGACCAGATATGCAAACATCAGTACACTGTGATCGTTCATTCCCACGGGGGCTTTGAAACTGATTTCCCTTATGATGGAGTCATTCAGAGTGAAGACTAGGTCTAGTCTCGCTGGTTTATCATTGCCTCTCATTTTTGTGGGTCCCCTGACATGTAGACTTAAAAAAATTTCTTGTTGCCACTTCCAACAGTTTAGCTCTCAATGTTTCCTTGTTTTCCCAATCTATCCTTCCATGATTGAAGTCCCCCCATGATGAGCAGATGGGATCTATATCTACAGGTAGCAGTGGCTTCTCACTCAATTATAGTGTTAACTGCCATGTTGTTTCTGTCATACTTAGGCTTGGGTCTGGTTACCTGGTTGATGGGGTTCTGGGAGTTCTTCTACTCCCCAAGCCCAGCCCGAGGCCAGGCTTGACTTGAGAGAGTTTGGTCCACTAGGCTGTTGCTTGGAGCGGCCCGCAGGCCCACATACCCACCACAGCCCGGTTGGTCCGGCACTCCTTGGAGGAATAAATCTAGTGTCCTCTTGAAGATGTCCACGGTTGTTCCGGCAATATTTCTTATGCTTGCTGGGAGGGTGTTGAACATCCGTGGACCTCGGATGTTTATACAGTGTTCTCTGATTGTGCCTATGGCACCTCTGCTCTTCACTGGTTCTATTCTGCATTTTCTTCCATATCGTTCACTCCAGTACGTTGTTATTTTACTGTGTAGATTTGGTACTTGGCCCTCCAGTATCTTCCAGGTGTATATTATTTGATATCTCTGGTCTTCTGTCATGTCGTGGAGGGTTATGTATCACTGCTACTACTACTATTGGTACTCCCATTGTCATGGTGCCTGTTATGTAGTCTCTGAACCCGTCACAGCCTGGGATATCCCTCGCCTCGAAACTATTTCTTGCTTATCAATAGGGGCACTTCATCTCCTTCCTTCCTTCCCTCTCTCGCCTTGTTACAGTGTAGTCCTTGGGAAACACTGCATCGTTATGATTCCTTTATGTATGTATGTACTCACCTAGTTGTACTTGCGGGGTTGAGCTTGCGGGCGGGCTCTTTGGTCCCACCTCTCAACTGTCAATCAACTGATGTACAGATTCCTGAGCCTACTGGACTATCTACATTTGAAACTGTGTATGGAGTCAGCCTCCACAACTTTGTAACGTCCCTGTGGCTCATTTGGGTACTCAGTTTCCACCTGTGGAGAGATTAACTCTCCAAAATTCATTTTTTATTTTTGGGCTGACGCCTGAATGGGTTTAGTACTGCTTATTACATTTTCAAAGGCTTAGCTTACACATAAAAATTCATTATACTTATACTCTGTTTTGGGTGAGGTGATATGGCACATAAGTTTTGGGTGAGGTGACAAACATAAGACAGAACACAAAACAATGGGTATGAAAACATAAGAATGGAAGAAGTAACTGCAGAAGGCCTATTGGCCCATACCTCCTCTCGCTGCTTCAATGTTGGTTCGGAGTCTTGAAGTGGGTAGAATAAAGTTGTGCATTAATTGGCTGGTGTTGACTTTTTGATGTGTAGTGCCTCACTAATGTCGAGTCTCCTGCTATCGCTGTATTTATCGATGATTTCTGTGTTGCATGTTCAGATTTCTCTGGTGATGGTCTGGTTGTGAGAAGAGATTATATGTTCCGTGATGGAGCCCTGTTGTTGGTGCATGGTTAATCGCCTAGAAAGAGACGTTGTTGTCTTGCCTATATACTGAGTTCTTTGGGGCTTACAGTCCCCAAGTGGGCATTTGAAGGTATAGACGACGTTGGTTTCCTTCAGGGCGTTCTGTTTGGTGTCTGGGGAGTTTTTCATGAGTAGGTTGGCCGTTTTTTTTCTTTTTGTAGTAAATTGTCAATTGTATTTTCTGATTTTTGTCTGTAGGGATAACGTTCCTATCAATATTATCGGAATCTTAATTTCAAAATAAATTGGATAACCATTGACATAACAAACAACTTGTTAAAATTTTAATTTACTTTTAAGTAAAATTCATGACGTTTCAAATACTTCTCGTATTCATCAATCTAAAATAATTCAAAAGTTACATTAAAATAAGCAGCAAAACAAAGGACTTATACTGGACAAAAAATACCTATTGAAAGATAAGATATAAAGCGACACTAGTTACAAAACAAAACACTCGAAGTCAATTAAGGAAACTTTTGCAACATTTTTATCCTCAAGTAAACTTTAGAAGTATTTTTGTGCTTACAAATACCATAGGTCCTATTTTAAATAGGTATTTTTTGCTTATAGTTTATCAAGTGGATTCTAGCAGTAAAGGATCTGGGCACACTCTTCAGGTTAGCAATTTCTCCAGCTTTAAAAGGGGCTGTCATTGTGCAGCAGTACTCCACTCTAGAGAGACTTTTTCATCTTAAAAAGTATCATTGGTATAGCATCTCTTGTTTGTAAGGTTTTCATTATCCAACCTGTCAATTTTATTGCAGTTGTGATGACTACTGTATTGTGTTCCTTAAAGGTAGTGTCTTCTGCCATGATTACACCCATATACTTTACATTGCTTTTACGTTCTATGGTATGATATGACTGTTTTGTACGTGATTTCTTTCATTTTATCCATAGCGCAGGAGCTGGAAGTTATCTTTATTAAATGCCATATTATTCTCTGTGGCCCATTGAGACCTGATTTACATCAGTTTGGAGGTATGCTGCATCCTCTATGTTGTCTACTCAAATAAAAATTCTTGTCATTTGCAAAGAATGAAACGGTACTTTTGTATGTGTCCATATCTGTGTCGGATATGAGAATGAGAAAGAGTATTGGAGCAAGCACAGCACCCTATGGGACTGAGCTCTTCACAGTTGATGGTCCGGACTTTACTTTGTTGGCTATTACGCACTGGGTTCTGTTAGGAAATTGTAGTTGTAAATCTTCCTATTTTTTCAGCGATTCACTTTGAGCGCATTTTGTGCGCAATAACACCATGGTCACATTGTCAAAGGCTTTTGCAAAATCTGCGTATATTACGTCAGCATATTGTTTGTCTTCCATTGCATCTAAGGCCATGTCATAGTGCTCCAGCAATTGTGATAGGCAAGAGTGCCCTGATCTGAAACCGTGTTAACCAGGGTTATGTAGACGCTGTGATTCCATGTTTTATGATCTTACTTCTTAGCACTCTTTCAAGGATTTGTGTGTGTGATGTTAGTGCTATCAATCTAGTTGTTTGCCTCTCCTTTATGGAGTGGTGCTATTTCTGCTGTTTTAGTATGTCAGGGATAACACCAGCATCTAAGCTCTGTCTCCAAAACATTTAGGGCCTGCGATAGTGGTTTTTACGGTTCTATACAGTACTGTACTACAGCCTAACATACACTGTATGAATAACCTGGCTTCCTATACCCTGACACAATGAATTATTATTATGAAGTAGTAAAGCCGATGCAAAAAATTATAGACTGGATACCTGATAATCCATGTTGTGACTCTTATGTCAGGCTGTGAGCAGTTGCATCAAACAGCCTGGTTGATCAGACCAGCAACCAGGAGGCTTGGTCAGAAACCAGGCTGTGGGGACATTGATTCTCGAAATCTTGAATAGAGTAATGCCTGTGACAAATAGCTCTAACATCGCACATCATAAAAATCTTTGAAAAAGAGTGCCAAGAAGTAAGATCACAAAACATGTGGAATCACAGTGTCTACATATCCCTGGGCAACATGGGTTTACAACAGGGTGCTCCTGTCTCTCACAGTTGCTAGACCATTATGACATGGCCATGGAAGACTAGCAAAATGCTGATGTAATATACACAGACTTCACCAAATATTTCAACAAATGTGACCATGGTGTTATTACATATAAAAATGCACACAAAAGTGATTACTGGCAATGTAAGGAGATGGATCTTTAACTTCCTAACAAACAGACCCCAGAGTGAACTAACCAACAAGGTAAAATCTAAATCATCCACCGTGAATAGCTCAAGTCCCCCAAGGTACCGTTTTTGCTCCGGTACTTTTCCTCATCCTCATATCAACATATACAGCAAACCTTCAATCTGATGTCAATCATGTCTTACAATGGACCACATAAAATAACATGTTTAATGAGGATAAGTTCTAATTATTGTGCTATGGAAAAAACAAATAATAAAGCAGAAACCACATACAAATCACAGACATACCACACTATTACAAGAAAAAGCAGTGTAAAAGATTTAGGAGTAATCATGGCAGAAGGCCTTACCTTTAAAGAACACGGCAAAGTAGCTGTCACAACTGCAAGAAATATGATAGGTTTGATAACAAGCTTTCAAACAAGATACCACACCAATGATATTTTTCAAGTCGCTAATGCTCTCTATAGTGGAATATTGTTGCACACTAACAACAACATTCAAAGCTAGAGAAACTGCTGTCCTGGAGAGCATGAAAAGATCTTTTATCACTAGGATCCACTTGGTTAAACATCTAAACTATTTGGACAGCCTAAAAATTTTAATTCTTTATTCCTACAGTGCTTGCAGGATAGATACATAATATACAGGTGGAAAATATTATGATTGGTTCCAAACCTGCACACAGAAATAACTCCACATGAGACCAGAAAGCATGGTAGGATGTGCAAAAGAGCCTCACTGAAAACTAGAGGTACAATATGTATGCCAAAAGAGAACTCAATCAACATCAAAGGCCAAGACATAAGTCCCCTACACACACGGGGCATAACTGCCAGACCTCTATCGAATTCTCATTTGAACACTGCAAAACACCTTCAATGTATACCTGATCAACCAGGCTGCGAGCAACCACATAGTCTGGTTGATCAGACCAGCAACCAGGAGGCCTGGTCAGATACTGGGCCGTGGGCACTTTGATCCTCGGAATTAACAACAGATACCTTACCTGCCTTATGGCAACCTTGTGGTGGTTCCGAGGATCAATGTCCGTGTAACCCAGTCTCTGACCAGGCTTCCTGGTTGGTTAACTAGGCTGTTGGACATGGCTGCTTGCAGCTTGATGTATAAACTACAGCCTGGTTGATCAGGTATTCTTTGGAGGTGTTTGAGTTCTCTCTTGAACACGTTGAGAGGTCAGCTAGTTGCCCACCTTGTGTGTAAAGGGAGGATGTTAAAAAGTCTTGGGTCTTTGATGTTGAGTTTTCTCTCAACGTATCTATTGCACCTCTACATTTTAATGGGGCTATTTTGTACATCCTGTCGTGCCTTCTTGTCTCGTGTGATTTGAGACCAGTTCCTATAATAATTTCCACATCAATATTGAATGTAATAGGAAAAGCAGTCATTATCATATGATGATTTAAACAATTATTGTTAGGATTTTACATGTATGATGCATATATGGATATAAAAGCTCTCAGTTTTATCACTTGTTTTTCTATATTTACATCCACAATCGGTGAAACTTCAGAGGATAAAGCAGGAAGAGTCAGCATAGTTGAGCACCAGGCATTAAAAAGTGCCAGACACAGCCTTGCAAAATGCCTCCACCCAGTGAAATAATAAATATTCACTTATTTTTGTGTTTTTCTTACATGATGCATACAAGTTACAAATTCTATAATGAAAAATTATTTGATTTTTTTTATTTTTTGTGCATAAGCTGGTATGACGATTTCTCCATAGCCGCTGTGTAAGGGTTAAGCATGTTGGGATAACACCAGTATCTAAGCGCCATCTCCAAAAAAAAGTTTAGGGCCTGTGATAGTGATGTTTTGCACTTCGAGTATAGAATTCTGGAAGCCTGGGCCTGGTGCATGGGCATGCTATACAGTATATGGTTCGATGTTGGTGTCACATTCATAAAGAATTCATTTGGAATCATTGATCTTCAGTGTGTTCAGGGGTTCACTGAAAACAAAATAGGATTAATATTTTGCATAACTAACAAGTCAAATCTACCAGTGTCAAAAATATTGCACTGAAAATTGTGTTAGCTCAGTTCATCATTTTGTCATTTAAAGAAATTCCTATCTACTGTGCAATTTACAACTTGACTTTTCTGCCCACAGGTTAATCCAGAATATATAGCGACTGGTTAACACGAAGAATTACCAGTTGGATAACTCGAGCTGCTGCAGTTCTGACCACCATACATATTAATTAGTTTTAAGGTATGATAGCACACATTGTGCCATGAAATGAATGAAGTATCAAGCTGTATACAGTATGGATATACTGTGTGTATATATATATATACACACACACACACACACATTGAACATATGTTCATTAACCACTGTAAATTTTTGACAACTTGTACAATGCAGTAGTAACTTTAAAATTTATGATATACAAGTTGCATTTACTGAATTTTTTCCATGTAACTTTAAAATTAACTTTTTTGTGTAAAATTAAATATAAGTTGTTAAAAATGTTTACCATAATAAAGTTTCATCTTTATTGTTTTGTTAAATTCATCCAAATTATATTTAGTTCACTGAGGGAGCTCTTCCAGAAGTAAATTTTCTGGTTCAGCTCTCCCAGTAGCCATGCACTGGTTCAGAAACGTCTTGGGAAGATGCACCAAGCCTCTGAGGCCTACCCTTGCTAACCAGAATCTGGCTCTCTTTACAAGGCAAGGGAAGATACCCCCAAAACCATGAAGAAAAATCCCACAAGAAAGCATAAGCACAACAAATAAAGCAACTATTTAATGAAAATTAGATATCACATAAGGCAAATGATTATTGCCATGGTGTAAAATATAATGTGCCTGAGTACCACCAGATACCTGGTAGGGGCCTGACAGCTGAATGGACAGCACTTTGGATTCGTAGTCCTGAGGTTCCGGGTTCGATCCCCGGTGGAGGAGGAAACAAATGGGCAGTTTCTTTAACCCTGATGCCCCTGTTACCTACCAGTAAATAGGTACCTGGGCATTAGGTAGCTGCTACAGGTTGGGGGGGGGGGGGGGGGGACAAAAAAGGAGGCCTGGTCGAGGACTGGACCGTAGGAACGCTAAGCCCTGAAATCATCTTTGGATAACCTCAAGAATCTCAAGGTAGCAACCCAGGTCACCCAGGAGTTTTAGTTTAGTTTTAGCCTACCCCTCACTAACTAGCCTGGTCACAGCTTTGGGTGCACGGAGACTCTCCTGGGGCCCATGATCGGCTTTGTGCCAAAGTGAAGTACATGTAGTGTTAGTTATCCCTGGAACATATTCTGCTGGGAGGCCATTGCTTTATTGTTTCATATTTTCTTTGATATATTTTATGTGCCCCCTACCTTGTGTCTTCCACAGCTTTTTATTTTGCTGCAATTGTGGACCAGTGTTCCCTTTAGTTATCTGCTTGCATTTTCCCTTTACCAATATATTTTTATTATAACACACACAAATTACAATAGTGTGATGCATCAAATGAACAAATCCACAAGGGCTGTGACGAGGATTCGAATCTACGTCAGAGAGCATCCTAGACGTTGCCTTAATCGACTGAGCTAGAACATGGTCAAAAGAATTGAAATTGTGGGTGTCCGGGATGCTCTCGGACATAGGTTCGAATCCTCGTCACAGCCCTTGTGGATTTGTTCATTTTTATATATTGGAATTGGAAAAGTAATTAAAACTAAATGGGTAGAACACCTGGAGAAAACTACATAACATAGACAGTATGGTTTTCGATCTGGAAGATCCTGTGTAACAAACTCAGTTTCTATGATTGAGCCACAGAGATTTTACAGGGAAAGAGATGGTTTGTTGTTATTACCTCAGAATAGGTAATTACCAGATATTAATCTGAGGTTTTCAGGTTCCCTTCATCGAGCTGACTCTCACCTCGTGTCCAGGTGGTGTAGGCCTTTCGATGGGAAGCATAGTACAGTATGTAGTTTACAGTGTGCTGTCTCACGTGCTTCAGTTACACCTGTCCCTGCCTCGTACATGTGTGGGAACTTTGCACTTTTACCTTGGGTGTTTTTTGGTTGCAGGGTAGATATAAAACCTGGGTTTCTGGGGGCCTCAGGAATCCTTGTGGGCTCGGTAGAGCCCCAGATTGCAATTTTTTTTTACAATGTCGTGGCCTGGTTGTCTGGGACATGTGCCTGTGAATCCTCATCACGGCTCTTATGCATTTTTAACAAGCATCATGTTAACATTTATCTACCAATCTCATATTTATATTGTAGTCCATGACACAATTTGGTTTATACAGTTTCTTGTGTTGCAAAGTTCACTTTGTCACTATCTTCCATTTCACAAGGGTGAACCATTAGAAATGCATTCATTTCGCATCTGCTCTCCAAGGCACTGAAAAAAATCTTGTCGCTTTTCCTCAACTGACAATCACTCATTGAAATACCTGTACCAAACATGGGCATTTCTCTATGTGGCTATCCAGTGCCACAGATTCAAGTCTTATGTTCAAGTAAGAATATAGCAAAGGGCTGGTACAATAATTGTCAGTATACAGAATATGACCCTTGTTCAGCAGTGGTTCCAACAGCATCTTTACCACACTCCCAGAAAACCCCTGAGGATCTTGAGCAGGTATATCTACATCTGTACCAGTATATCATGTCATTTGTCATTGTGAAAACGGAAGTGATAGATATCACAAAGAATTTCACTCTATATCTGTGCAAATTCGATGGGATATATACTGCTTGAATGCAAGATGTCGCTTGAAAAGAACTACTGTAGATTCATCAATCACTACATTCTGACCTTGCACAAAAAGTCTTTGAATTTTCCTCTTGCTTCCCTAAATGACTTCCTTACTTTCCACAGCCTTATCGTTTCGATCCACATTTTCTTTTAGCCTCAAAGTGTAGACATCTTAGAAGTAGGCCCCCATCATGTGACATGAACTTCCCTAAAATTGGGGTTGGAACACTGATCCAATTATCCTGGAGACGTGTTTCAGTTTGTTTTATATCATACACAGCGCAAGAAACATACATTTCACCAACAGTCATATGTGAAATTGGTAATAAGCCAGACGAGAGAGCTGCTGTGTAGTTCATTTTGTCAATATGGGTCTTGAATGGCTCGTCAAAATAAGCCATAAAATATTTGCTTTCACTTGTATTGTCACCAGTATATGGGAAAATGGGTGTAATGAAAACATCTGTATCATCAAATGTTGGCATTTCTGGTATAAATGTCTCAACCTTCCCACAGGAATACACCCATACTGCTTGTGGTAGTGCCACCACTGTGGCTCTGTTTTCTTTTACTAACTCAGTTGTCCAGGGGATGAAGCTCTTCATGTTACATAGGCTGACATTGTCCTCATGAGTGGAAACACGCTGGCAGTTGACAGTGAATTTTCACCTGGTAACACTACCAGAAAAGTCACTAACATTAAGTGTTCACTACTTGTATCAGAACCAATGTTACAAAACCAAGACAATGGTCATCTACATTATGGCATTTAGTAACGTTAGATGGCATAGATGATAATAGCAGTGGTGTTGACCTGGTCGGCATGACTGGGCTGGTAAGTTGCCCATACTGTACACAATGCTTGTATCACCATTGTCAGTGTCCATGTCACTCGTATCCGATACTTGTGTTAGGTCATCATCAGGTTTTGGGTCATCAACATCACTATTACTGTCCTCTTAAAACATATCCTATATGTCATCCTCATTAAGTGCTTTGTTGCCCACCCAACTCGAGGGAGACCAAGAGCTAAGTAATTATCAAAAGAAGGCGCCAAGCCAGACAGACTACGAAACACTTTCAAAAGTTGCAGGATGTTCAAGTCGTTAACACTTTCGTGCTTCCTGGGAATAGACCCCTAAGTGAGCCGTTCGTGTCGGCCAACTGCGCGTCGGCACTAAAATGTTTATAATCTTTTCGGGCTGGTGAGCTTAATTTTCGCGGTATGTATTTAAATTTGGTATCATTGTGTTCGGGAGAGAATGCTCTAGAGGAATATATACAAAGTGTCACCAAAGACAACATGAGAACCACACCAAATAACAAACTGTGGCGTTTGTTAGCCGTGAGCGTAAAACCGGGCATCAATGTTTACGATGTTTTCATGTTTGCGAACCCCATAATTGTTATTCGTGGTTTATTTTTGTATCATTGTGACCGCAATAAAATTCCCTACACGGACATATAAATATAAACAATAAATAATGGTGTTGCCCCACCCGCAGGAATCACCAAGGATGCCAATACGAGAACAAAAGCGCATAAGCCGAGCGACATCACAGGCATCTGATTCACAAAGGATTCTATCAAGGGACAAACCACCACAAGGGACAGTCAGCTCCAGATTGACAAGATTGACATTGACAAGATTGCAGGGCTCAGCCCTGCCAAGGAAGTGGAAAGGAAACACAGGATCATTTGGAATAGCCAAAGATAATGCCTGGCCTGGCTTACCCAAAAACCTCCAAGGGCAGCCCCTCTAGCATGTGGTCAGATGACCTGAACAGGTTCCTGTTTCATTATATATTCTGTACAATACATGAAGAGGGGGAAGGGAACTATCAGGCGAAAGTTGCCAAGCCATTATGACTAACTCTTGGAAAGAATCAGGATAAAGGTTTGGGACAGGAGAGAAGGAATGGTGCCCAACCACTTGGACAAGGCCTCCACCCCCAGGAAGCAGCCCGTGACAGCTGACTAACACCCCAGGTAACTATTTTACTGCTAGGTAACAGGGACATAAGGTGAAAGAAACTCTGCCCATTGTTTCTCGCCGGCACCTGGGATCGAACCCAGGACCACAGGATCACAAGTCCAGCGTGCTGTCAGCTTGGCTCCCCATGCATGAAGCAAGACACTTGCACCACCGTTCAGCCCAAGTTGTTGGGCACATGAAGAGGAGATCGAGGCAACCCTCATCAGCTCCTGGAAATCGTATGCGAGCCCCCTCATCATAACGAGGGAAAAGGCTTCGGAAGGTGGCAAGTACAATGACCAAATAGGCAACCCTAACAAACCCCAGAAAGTCTTGTCACCACAAGGCAAAACCTTTGAGGGGATTGAGCTATATAGTACTGTACAGAAATAAAACTTCATAAATTCAGTTTTTAATTGTATAATTGTTTTGGTGTCAATTGAAGAGAAACAATGTTAAAGGGTGTAATTTTAATGACTTTAGTTATAAACAATCACCCACAAGTCATCACAACATAAGAAATTATGAATTTCTCTCAAATGATAAAAACTTAGTGCATAAACTCACTGAAAATTGTAACATCAAAATACTAAAAAAAAAAATAAAAAAAAAATTAAGCGCATCCATGCAATACATACATTAATTACATTTGGGAGAATGCTTGGTTGCAACACCAGACATATGCCTTAACTTATACTTAACAGACTGATGGTTTCAAATAATTAAGAATTTTGTACTCCTCGCACTCAGGGTAAGGTTCCTCTGTACAGAGAAACATCAATTGTAAATGTGAACTACATGATACTAGCTCAAGTCCCATTTGCACAAGGCATTTCCCTGCCTGGATATGTTTCTTCTACCATAATCTGGTGCAATATCATGTGAAAATAGTCAACAAACCCAGTCTCTTTATATCACTACTCTGCCTCGGCAGTGTTATCCTCGTAGATACAAGTCTGGATGGGAAGGTATATCACATTTCCCACACTGTCACACACACGTTTAAGAGACTGACATTCAGTGTTCTGTTGCACTATCTTTCTGTGGTTCTACATATAAAACACCACATTGCATAAATAGCTTTTGTAACAGACACAGGTATAGTTCAATCACACTCATTGTCATGTTTTGAGATATTAGCCATCTCTTACAAGTTTTGGCATCTTGAGCCATGGTACATAGCTGTGCAGCTTTGGAGATAAAGGCATTCCATGAGGAAGCATTAAGACATACGCCGGTCTCTAAAGATGATCATCGAAGTTCCCGCCGATACTCCGGAGAATCATCTCGTTGCCCGCCCATACAGCGCAGTGGATCTCTTCACCAATAACGTTTTCAACACATCCCTTACCACCCAATGCTCTTCTGATACATAAATAAAACAAAAATAAGCATAATCTACCCTATAATAACCTAATAACTAATCAAAGGTAAAATGCACAAAACATACTTACCTAATGGAAACATGCCGTTTAGAGACTCCCTACTGGCTCAGAAAAACATGAACAATTTAAAATTACAATGACCCCAACTCAACCTTTTATAGTTTTTAATTCCACCTTAAATTTCTCAATAACTGTTGCTGAAATAATGAGATCTAATCCTAATATCAGAAGAGCACTGAGTGGGGATACCTGTAGGAGGGAAAGAACAGGTATGTAGGAAGGACGGCAGGATGGAGTTAGGAAGTGGATGGGGAGACAGCACAGATGAACGTAACAGTAACCTTGGGAGTAGTGAGGGGCTGGCACGAAGAAGCTGTGTCGAGTTATATTTTTAGCTCCGTGGTGCTGAGCACACACTCCTCATGCTACTCTTCTCTCAGCAATCTGGACATTACATGCTTCGTATTACCCTCCACAAGGTCATTGGCTCCCCTCATTAAATGCCAGAATGGAATCAGCTGCGTGATCGAGAGCGGCTACGACTCCTGCGCCTTGATCTGCGAGATTCCCTACTTGGTGATCGCCGCTGACGCTGTGGTGATCTATTGGAAAAAAATATTATCTTGTATATAAAACCAGTTCAAATATTACTAAGAGGAAGGAGGCACGAGAGTAGCAGGAAGCTGAACATGATGTGAAATTACTGTACTTGCATTGTTGACAATTGTTTAACGAGGTAAACTTTTATATGGGAAGGAAATAATAGGGATCACACATTAAATAATTTACAATGAATAAATTTGGAGAACTTTTAGAAAACAAAGAACACCCTGTACCAAAAGAAATTGTTAGCAGATAGAAAAAAGTAAATCCTAAACAGAGGTTACAAAAACAAAGCAAAGCAAAGGATGGGAATAGGAATGGAAATAAAGTCTGTTGTTATTATCAAAAGTTAAAATATGACAATGTAGATAATTGGTAGATGGTTATAAATGGCACAAGTAGTTATTTACCCATCACCTCCAATTTTCTGCCCCGCCCCACCTTTAGTTAGTTACTAGAATATCTAGTTACCTATTCTAAAGTGATTACAATGTCAGCCATTGTTTCTTCCTGCCTTCCATTTCCCAACCTTGGTCTGCACATTAGTTCTATTGCTAAGACCTCTTGACTACTTATAAGTTCCTCACACCCCACCTTAACATTTTCTGTGAGAATTCCCCAACCTGATTACATGGTCTCTCACTATTGTTTCTCTCCTTATATGGCTAAACAAGAGCTATGTTAGTCCTTTGCTTTTGCTGCAATGTCATTTTCACAACCCATCCTCCTGTTTAGAAATAGTACAAAGTACAATGCTACATAGTACAAAGAGTGACATACTAAGCAATTAGATAGAATTTAGTACTATTCACTTTACCGAGTCAAAAAACATGAAGCTAAAATACAAACAAATATTCCTAGACCTAGTATAGCACCCACATGTACTATATTAGGCCTCATATATCATGTATTAGACCTAGGAAGGTTAGTTTAGTCTAGTTTGTCTTAGCAACATAGAAAAGCTTTTCTGGTTCGTCAAAATTCACTAGTACGAATTTCTACTTTCAATAGCATTGTACATTGGTATATGTACTATGGTCCTCATCGTTACTGTAAGTACTACCAAAACAAGAGGATGGGCTGCATTTTCAAATTAACTCTCAGTTTCTCTTCTGACTTGGGTGCATTAATTTGTTTCTCTTCAGTGCCTCACTGTTGTCCAGAGTTACTAGTTCTCTGTGCCCTTTTCCAGGCATTTCTGGACCTCTTTAGCATCCCTGCATTAACTATTGAGCCAGTTATTTACAGTACAACCAAAATTTGACAAACTATAAGCGACGAAAACCGATTCACTGGAGTGAGGGGTTCACTGCCATCAGAGATGCTTTCTGAAGGCCTTTGTGAGACATTTTTTTAAGACAAGAAAACTACAAAGATTTAGCTGTTTTCTTCTAATGTTGCTTTATCTATAAAAATCATTAGAAACACAATTAGAATTAATTATAGTTACCATTCATTCCCTAATATTTCCCATACTTTATGGCCAATTTTGTCAAGTGAAATTGTAATTTTTAACCAATCATGTAAAGGACAACTAAGAGAACCTGGATATCTCACCACATCCAACATATTTCCTATGCCCCAGCCTGGTAAACTCATTTTCAAAGAAACATGGGGGCCATATTTTAATGAATGAAAACTGCTGCAACTGGAAATTAAAATGAACAATAGAATTTGGTTTTAAATATCCTCAATAGCTTTCCCAAGACTCAAAATGATTCTTTTAATGTTGTGTACAACTATGAGAATGCGGGCGATGAGTCACAATAACGTGGCTGAGGTATGTTGACCAAACCACACACTAGAAAGTGAAGGGATGACGACGTTTCACTTCGTCCTGGACCATTCTCCAGTAAATTGTGGTCCCTTCGAAACGAAACGTCGTCGTCCCTTCACTTTCTAGTGTGTGGTCTGGTCAACTATGAGAATCATTAAAATAATGACTGGAGCCATATGAGGATAGTTACCATTCATGCCCTAATACTTCCTGTGCTCTATGGACTAATTACATTGAGCAAAATTTGTATTTCATTCTTTGTTATGAAGGGCAAGTTTCCCACCTGTCTGTGAACTCTGACCCAACATCATAAGCAAATCCACACATCTCACGCTTCACCAAACGCTTGTTCGTTGAATCAAGTGAATTGTTGCTTTTATATAAAAGCAGAATTTATTCTATGCCAGAATAAATCAAGCATGGAATGCATGCACTGCAATCAAAGACTCCTGGAACCAAGTGAGCCCCTTCCTCCGCAAAGTCTATATTACCACTAACAAGCCCTCCTCTCTCCACTGTAACTCCTCCAGGATTCAAACCTAGGCCACCAGAGAACCATGCCCCTGGCAGCTCAACAATCATTTGAAATAATAGTACTGATAGTAACTATTTGGTTAAACGTATCATTAAGTACTGTTGGTCCCCAAAACAAGTTCACGTTGTGCATTACTGAATTGGCCCAAACCTATACTAACCTGTCCAAGCAATCATAGACACAATATAGCATGTGCTATACTAGGCCTAGGAATACAAGTTTTTTCATGGCCTCTATATGATTGTTAATACAAAATGTGAAATTCTGGGACCCAACAGTCCATTTTTTTTACATTTAACAAATAGTTACTGTAAGTACCATCATTTTAGGAGGATGGGTTGATATACACTATGCAAATATATACACATATGCATAAATATTGTACACTGACACACTTGCTATCTCTCTCTACTGCAAAGAGTTATAGACACCCTGATCAAATCTAATGTGTTGGGTGGATGCCAAAATCATCAAAAGCTTTAACGTATCATGTGACAGACTATTGGAGAAATGGGACTCCCCGAGTATAGCTTTCCTCCTGTAACTATACTTAGGTAACTATATTCACATACATGTATATGAAGTTAAAATAATTACAAAATCTACAGATACAGGTACATAGCCAAATATAAACAGGGGGCTTTCTATGTTCTAAACGCTATGCATGTTAGTGGCCTTGCACGAATGTTAAAATACCCATGTTATGCACTCACAAACCCATTGAACTTCTTGTATGTAAATAAATAAATGAATGTACCCAAAACATACTAGAATGAAAGTTAGAAGCTGATAAGAAAAGGCAATCCAGATGATGCACAGCAACTGCAATAATAAACGTACCTGAACTCTAATTCCCAAATATTCAATTGCTATACTATATACAGTACCCCATAAGAGGCTGTTACAAAAGTTCAAGAAACAGGCAGGGTAAGGGTAAGGGGTTTCAGTGGATAAGGGGAGTAACTGTAAGGGGGGTGGGGGGAAGACATCAAGAGTGGTGAGATGTCACAAGCGGAGTTCCACAGGGCTCTGTACTTGGACCCATCCAGTTTCTGATGTATGTAAACGATCTTCCGGAGGGTTTGCACTCATTCCTCTCAATGTTTGCTGATGATGGAAAAATTATGAGAAGAATCAAGACAGATGAAGATAGACTGGAGGAACGGTCTAGAATATGGCTACTAAGGTTTAACTCAGATAAGTCTTAACTAATGAAATTAGGTGAAGGTAGGAGGAGGCTAAACACAAAGTACTATCTAGGAGGTGAAATCCTGCGCAAGTCAAATAGAAAGATCTTGTGATTGGTATCACACTGGACCTGTCCCTAGAAGCCCACATCAAAACGATATCATCTTTGGCATATGTAAGAGTGGCCAATATCAGAACTGCCCATAAAAACTTGTGTAAGGAATTATTCAAAACCTTGCATTCCATTTATGTCAGACCAATCCTGGAGTCCATACCTAGTTAAACACAAGACAAATTTAGAGAAGATTCAGAGGTATGCCACCAGACTAATTCCAGAACTGAGAGGCATGAGTTACGAGGAAAGGCTATAGGAGCTAAACCTAACATTCCTGGGAGACACAAGACTAAGGGGAGATATGATCACCACCTATAAAATTATCAAGAGAAATTGACAGGGTGGAAACCGAGTACCCAAATGTGCAAAGGGACATTTAGAAAGTTTTTTCAGTGTCAGGGTAGTTAACAAATGGAATGCATTGACCAGTGATGCGGTGGAGGCAGACTCCATACACAGTTTCAAATGTAGATATGATAGAGCCCAGTAGGCTCAGGAATATCTGGTGCTCAATAGGCACCAGATGATTGACAGTTGAGAGGCAGGAGCCAAGAGCTACACCCCCCACAAGCACAACTAGACGAGTACATACCTTCTTGGTGATTTTCCTGGAGATCTCTTAGGAGACCTCTTGGGTGATCTTTTAGCAGATGATCGCCTCGGTGACCTCCGCGGAGATCTACGAGGAGATCTTCTAGGTGATCTTCGAGGTGACCTACTTCTCCGACGTGATCTAGACTTTGATCGGGATTTGCGAGCATTCTTCTCTCTTTCCTTCACTCTTTCTTTTTCCTTTTCCTTTTCTCGTTCTCTCTCTCTTTCTCGTTCTTTCTTTCGCTCAGTTCTTAGCCGCTCCCACTCTTCATGCTCCTTCTCTCTGGCAGCTCTCATCTCTGCGTGAAGACGCTCCAATTCTGCCATCTTTTGACGACGTTGTGCTTCTTTTTCACCAATCTGGAAGCAAATTTATATTTTTACCTTGCTGAAGAACTAGCTGATATTATGTATTGTATACCTCAATTACTCTTAGTACTAGACAATGGTGCTGCCCCCGAACAGCTCCCCCTATCCTCTCTAAAGCATCTTTATCTAAAGATCAAGCACTTGGTAGTCTGCTACTAATATAACAAATGGCAACAGGTGAGAGAGGGCTGGGCAGACTGCATTTTCCTGCATTAACAGAAAGCTGTTGACACTGTTCCTAACAACCGACTCCTATGCAAACTTAAAGAACAGGAGAGGAAAACTACCAAATTGGGTAAAGGAGTACCTATCATGAAAACGACAGTGTGTCATAGTAAGAGGAGAGTTATCAGAATAGAGAGGGATAATGAGTGAAATACCTCAAGGGTCAGTACTAATCCTTCCTATTGAGTACTACAGTACTCAAGGCCCATCCTATTCCTAATATATGTTTACCATATGATGAACATTTAACATGATTTAAAAGAGGAAGCATGCTCATTCTTTTCTGTTTTTGCTATAGACACTTTTGATTTCAAAATGTTTGTATAGAAAGACTGTTAAAAGGCACAGTATTTGCTACTTGAAAAAATCAATTAAATATTGCAGTAATTTTAAGGTTACTGAATATTGATTTAACCTGTTTTCTAGTATTTTGTATCTAAAAAAAAAGTGGTAAACCCCCTTCTTCCTTGACACAACCACCTTAACAGTGTATAACCCTTTTGATTACTCTCTCTAATACCTTACAGGAAATACTTGTTAGTGATACTAGTCTGTACTTCAGTGGCTCCTGTCTAGTGAGGAGTTGAAGACTATTCACCGTATGTGTGTGTGTGTGTGTGTGTGTGTGTGTGTATGTGATTCAGTCTTTCCAGCACTATTTGTCATATAACGCTTTGAAACTACTGACAGTTTTTCCCTCCACCACTTTCTTGCATAACTTGTTCAAACCGTCTAACACTGCCCCAAAAAAAACTTTTGATATTTTTTCAGCACCTTTGTTTTTGTAGCTTGATTGTATGACATCTTGTTCCTGAGGTTGCAGGTTTCATGACCTCTTGCTCTGTCAATTGGATAAGATTCCCATAATTATATCACTTCTTTTTTTAATAAAATATTATCTTTCTTATATTCTTAAAAAAATAATTGTAGGACTTTTAAACTGCACGTTGATGTTCTGGCAGTTGACAGTCCACATCAACTAGCCTTGTTCTGACCTATGTTAAGTACCCTTAATTCCCTAAGTTGTATGTATGAGGCCTGGTTGAGGATCGGGCCACGGGGACACTAAGCCCCGAAATCATCAAGATAACCTCAAGAGTGACTTCTACTATTTGATCTCTCCATGAAACGTCCCTAATGCTGTCCTTACCTAACTTCTTATTGTTTCTAGTTTGTAGAAACAATATATCTTACCATATCTTTTTTCCTGTTAATTTCTTCAAATTCAACCCCCGTTAATTTTCGTATCTCATTATTTTTCTCAAGTTATTTCATATGCAATTCCAGTTCCTTCACCTTGGATGTCAAGCTGGTATTTTCATCTTGCTGTTGAGAAATCTCTCTTTCAAGGTACATGTGGGGAGGAAGTGTGTAACATTTTTGTGTTCATGCTTCTGTAATACATATTTTCACACCCTAGGAAACTGTTATAAAACTTGAGCCATAACTCACCTGTTCAGCAGTTAGAGGAAGCCAATATATTGCTGGCTGGGCTTTAGTTTTGTGGAACAAGTCGTCCAGAAGTTTGGCTGGTGGCTCCTCTGGTTTTTTGTTTTGTTCTACACATAAAAGAAATAATAAAATCCAGTAAGGAATTAGATAGAAAAATTCCCAAATTGTATAAGGTTGAGAAAATGAGGTATCAGTACAGGGAAAAGCAAACAAGCTATTAACAATTATATCCATCCATTAACTGCAAACCATCAGCTAAATTTCGTAATCTCTTACATTATTATATTTTGTTTAGTATACAACTGTCAATGTTAGTCTTTATAAAATAGCAAAATCATTTTAACATTCTAAAACGTACCTTCATGTCCGGTGGGACTACGACTTTTGTTGCGTTCACGCAGCCTTTCTTCTTCTCTTTCCCTACGAAGTCTCTCACGCTCCCTTTCCCTCTCTCCTGGTGAACGTTCACCTATCTTGGCCAAATCCCATTCTCGCACTGGTCCTTCACGCTGAACATTAAGATTTCAACACAAAAATTATTTAAATGCACCAGTCTTGAGCTGGGTGGGTGAAACAAAACAGGATACTTAGGAAGAAATGAGAGGGGTATGAAAAATTCTTGTGAGATGATCTGCTGAGGTGGTTCTAATATGGATACTGCATGACTTCCAGTGGATGAAGAGCTAGAGATTGTGCATAATGGCAGTATTAACTTATGCACAAGATGAAATTTTGTAAAGGGTCAACTTGTTTAGTGTAGATCACATGTTGTCCTGATCAATAACAAATGCCTATGTACAATGAGTAATATAAAGAATCTATTACAGGTAAGAGTCTGACCAGAAGACATCAAGGCATTGTTTCTGGATGTCAGGTATGGCATATATATACAAGCATGTGCCTAAATTGGTGAACATATTCAACAAATTTGTCAAATGGTCATGGAGAATGAAATGCTTGAAAGTATTCTTTAAAAGAGTGTACTTAGGCAACCAATAATGCCAGTGAATAATTTTAAGTGAAACAGCTTGAGGACCAACATGTTATTTGTGACAATTCACTCCACTGCATTAAAATATTTATTCAGATTGTCTAATGTTACATTGTCTGCATACTTTATGAATGTTGCATTTCTTTCAATGACCTAAAGCTAGTAAATCTTAAAGAAAATGGTTTAGCAGTTAAATCAATGACGCTAAAAATATTGCATTTGAAAGCTCTATTTTCTCAAGAATTTAATTTTTTTTTTAGGTTGAGGAAATAGTTAAAAATCATTGTCAATCAATTTAAACATTTCCCGTTTGACTTTAACAGATTTTATGTTATTATGCAAACTTAAGCACTGTATCAGTTAGCTTTAATTTGGTGTTCAAGCCATTTAAATGTGAGGAGATAAATAATGTAAAATGCATCAATCTACATAGATCCACATAGATAATCCAATCCACATAGATAATTTCTGACATGGAAGTTTTTATTTCATCAAAATCAGCTCCATGTCTGTAAAATAAATTCTCTGATGTTTCATGTGGCAAGAATGATAATCCTCATATATGCCCCTGTGGAATATGTTCACCTTTCCTGATCTAGTGCATACATTTCAAGGTTACTACTCTATTGAACAGAGCAAGCTTGAAACATATAAGCGCTAGTGAACCCCCTCTCAAGCTCTCACACACCAGTTGCATAGAAACTTGGATATATTAAAAGAATAATAAATGGTGTAATTATAATAGAACATGTCAATGTATTTTTACATACCCGCCATCTCTCATCACGACGATCTTCAATGCTCTTCTGAGGTGGGGGAGCAAAATCTTCCATTCTCTTTTTCATTTCCTCCTAATGTCAACAAAAAAATAATAAACATTACTATAAAATACTGACCTTAACTCATACAAGCAATGAAATCCACAAATTCTACATCCCATATATATGTTATTAACAATAGTATAAATATTCTGAACACATACTCTTCCCGCCTGTGTGTTTGTGAAGTTACAGAACGAGTTACAATAGTGGTGTCGCATTTTCCCCATAATCTTTGAGATATGGGCATCGTGTAACTGCTGCATATTCTAATTCACGTCACAAACACGTTGATTCATGGGTTAATGGGGTTATTTTCTTGATTTTATTAATATTTTATTGATATTATGCTTACTATTCAAATATAGTTACTGTTCCAAATGAAGCTATGCCAATCATGGTATAATTATATGGTATACAGTATATACCAATTATATTCATATATGTTCATAACACTATACGGTTATACTGAAGTCTATTAAGGCAATCAATTAGCATTGGACCATAAGAATACAGGAACTGCAAAAGGCATATTTATCCATAAAAAGTATTCATTCATTAATACATACAGTTCATTCAATTATTCATAGGTAAATTCATTAATGCATTGAAACACACATTTCATTCACTTACTCATTGCTTACACACTTACTTACATACACACTTACACACACACACAGCAACATATATTTATTCATTCAGTGATACATTAATTCACTGTAGCCCTAAATATATTATCCTTATAGTGAAGTATCCTAAATACATATTAAAATCTGATTACCTTTATGACCCACACAAGATTATTAAATTTCTGAAGTAGCCCAATTCATCACAGCATAGAAAGGTTTGCACTAAATGCTGAATACAGTAATTTGTTCACTACATAAACTCATCTAAGAGAACTTGCTAAGCAACAAGCCAGTATATAAATGTGTCACCAGCTACAAGCAGTCAAATTCTTCTCATACCTCAGTGGAAAAATCCACGAACAGGTTCTTTGGGTTGGACACTGGCCACTTAACACCATGTAGAGCTACACGCGTCTCTTGAGCCTGATCCTCCTTTTCATACTGAAATTAGAGCACAAAATAATTATTTCAGTGAATTAGATATGACTAAGCATAAAATAATGAGTAGTTTATATTTTTTACTAATTATCTTTGAAAGTACTATACTGTAAGATCCTCTATTCCTACAACCTTGATTGCTTTTGTTGAGATCAATGATTATAGTTGATAGGCTAAAAACCAGGAGCCAGATTCACAAGGCAGTTATGCAAGCACTTATGAACCTGCACATCTTTTCTCAATCTTTGGCGGCTTTGTTTACAATTATTAAACAATTAATGAGCTCCGAAGCACCAGGAGGCTGTTTTTAACAATTGCAGCAGTTAATTGGTTAATTTTCTTGCATGTAAATTGTTTAATTAATGCAATCAAAGCCATCAAAGGTTGAGTAAAGATAACTGCTTCGTGAATCTGGCCCCCTGGTTAACTCTGTTGAGGCTTGCCAAATGAATAAAAAAGTTTCAACACTTTAAAATGATTTTCAATAGATATCTGGTCTCTGTAGTAGTTGCAGCCTTTTAGCAGTGATAAGAGGAAACATCACCCCCCATGAGGCAGACCACAATCCATAAGGAATAATTAGCTCCCGTTTAAGACACTCGCCATTATGAGTGCCATAACAATAATGGTAAATATGAAAAGAAATCAAAGAAAAAGTCAACGTTGGGGGGAAATAAGAGCACATTTGTTTTGCATTTTGCAAATAAAATGCATACAATTAGTGTGTATGCTCATTTCTTGTATTTATAATGATACTCATTACATTTTGAACATTCATAGCCTGGTAGTAAGTTAGTTCTACAATATTTTAAATTAAAAAAACACAGCCACTTCACAGAAGCACAGAGTGGTAGAGGAGTGTCGTTATCACCCTCACCGAGAAAGCAAACAAAGTAGATTAGACAATACAGACAACGGCTTTGTTCAACTTCCAGGGTGCCACTGGGACTCGCCCAGAAAAGGGAATGTTTCATTACTTTTGGAATGAGCCCTTTGATGGCTCCATTAAGTTAACTAACCACAGAGAAGAAGGAAAAGATGCGACTTATCAGGGAGGAGAAGAGGCAGCAGCTACAAAGTCTTAGGAATACTGACCCTATATCAAGCCACCAAGATCCTTACGAGATCTCAAAAACCCGAGACATAATAGCGGAGACAGTGGCCAAAGGGTAAACCATAGACTCTCTCGTGTTAATGATACAGTGGATGACCTGGAAGATATTTCTGAAGAGGACCAAGGAAACTGGATAGATTAAGTGTCACCCGAAGCAGAAGGAAGGAATGAAACAAAGGTACTGTAGCAACAAACCACCGCAACTGGACACGGTAGAAGGTACAGCCCAGCCAGGAAAACTAAGCATCATACACCAAGGTACTCCTCCAGAATGTATAGTATATACTTACAGAATGTATGTATATACATGTAGATGATTCGACCACTTATCCAAACATGACTATATATCCAATTGCAATTGGTTCCAAGGCATTTGGAAAGGAGAAAGTTGCATGTATGCCAATGCCATACAGTACTCCTCTGCCAGGTATGAACTTACTTCTCCAGTAACTTTGCTTTCTCATCCATTGTAAGGACATTTCACTTACTCTTACCTCTTGCTAGACAGTATGAATTTAACTCATAAATAATGATTTAGCCAAAGAAATGTCAGAAGCTATTTTAAAGGTGAGATTGAGTACGTACACACACAAACACGAAAGGTCTACAGACACCACAGAAAACCCTTAACAATTTTGGATTTACAATCAAGTGTATAAGTACACTAACCCTGAAACATTTAAAAATAAATCATTTTTTTACAATATTTACCATTAAACACTAAATCAGCATAAATAAATATGATCTGGAAACAACTGTGTGACCATCTGACGGTCTGGTTTTTACCATTTTTGTTTATCCATAGGCAGATTTAGTCTGTTATTTTAAAAGAGCATGGAAGCTAGGGTTTAAGAGGTTGCACAACTCAAATGAAAAATTATTGCAAGCTTGCTGACCACAAAAGGCAACAGTCAGGACAGAAGAATAGTAGTAGTAGTAGACCCACTTTATGTTAGACGAGTTGGGTTTGTGGCCCGAGGTGGTGACAGCAGTTACCTAATGGCAGTCAGAAGGATTGACCCTAAAGTCAATCCCTCTGACTGCTAGTAGTTGGAGAGAGTCCTCAAATGGAGACAGTGTTGCCAAATAGGCATGGAAAGGCTTTGACTTTTATGGACTGACCTCTGACGATCAATGCTGGGATGTCTGTCATTTCTCCAGTGACTTCCTTAGAATAATATGACCCTACAAGGGTGCATGAAAATTACCTGCAGCTCTGTGCTATACACGAGGAAGTAGGCAAATTTAAGAGCTCAGAATAACATTCACAAGTGTTTGGAAACTTTCTGATTATAACTACCTTTGCATATGGAAATGATTATGTGGATAAAATCGGTCATAAACTTACCATTGCAAGACATTTAGATTTTATATTGTCTATCCAAAATCCATTTTCAACAAGACGACCTGTCCTCTGAAGCAGCTCTCGAAGCTGATTAATGGTGAATGGGCGTACCAAATTTTGAACATACACAACTCTGGACGGTGGATTACGTGCTGGAGCAATGGCAGGCTTACTACTTGGGACAGGCCCCTCAAACATATGAATCTTGCGTGCTGGTTCTGGAAATAAAAAGTAAGATATTAAAAAAATCATCTAATGACAAACATATTTTTTACATTGTCATCATCACTACTGTACCTAGAACTGCCAAACATGCAGCCTGCCACCCTTCTATATGGGTCATGTAAAGCACTCACCACTTTAAACATCCAACATAAACTATGTTAAAAGTATGGCATACAAACTGCCAAATAACACTATGTCTGTTGTTTATTCAAAAGGTTGTGCTTGTAGGTCCCACAATGAAGGATGTTTGTGGAAGTCAGTCCAATAGTTATTTGTTTATTTATGGTTTATTTAGGCAGACTATCCAAAGAGTTTTAGACGTGTATTGAACAGCTCTGAACTGCAGTGAGCTTTTTGTCTGGGCAGGTACTCTGATACCAGTCATGCACAGTTGTTCAATGGAGTTGGAGCATTATAGTTGTGGTTCAGTGGATTTTTGTGAACATAATCATGTTAGTAAAGAATTTAACAATTAGTGAATTAGAAAATCTATAGCAACAGTGATGAGGGTTCGAACCTATGTAGTGGATGTTCCCATGCACATGCTTCTAGCGACTAGACCACGACATCGATAAGGATTTCAACCTGGGGATTGTGGGTTCAGGGTTGCAATCCTTATCCATAATGTGGTCTAGTTGCTAAAAGCGTGTGAAAACCCACCGCACAGGTTAGAACCCTCCTCATTGTTCCTACAGATTTTCTCATTGATGCAGTCACATTAGTGTGATTACTCTGTGAATTAGTGAATTGTCAGACTGTACAAGAAAAGTGGAAAGACAATTTTTCACAGAAATAAAATTAAAATGAAAGCAAAAAGGGTAGGAACAGGAGGAACCAGACAATGCCCAGAACTAAACTATGCCTAAGAAAAAAAAACACAGGCAGTTTAGGCTTCCAATCACCGAGTAATCCGGTGCTGGTCCAATACTAGACAAAGACCACTACAAGAAGAGCAGAATTGCAGATGGCAGGGAAACCAAATGATAATCCCAAACCAGGTCCAAACCTGAGATGAAACCAACTAGGACTTCTGCCAGTTCACTGGAAACCTAAACCCAGCAAGCTGGGAAAGTACCAGATCCCTGGCTGGGAGCTCAAACTAGCCATTCACCAGGATCTTGAGGTTATCTTGAGGTGATTTCGGGGCTTTAGTGTCCTCGCGGCCCGGTCCTCGACCAGGCCTCCACCCCCCAGGAAGCAGCCCGTGACAGCTGAAAAACACCCAGGTACCTATTTTGCTGCTAGGTAACAGGGGCATAGGGTGAAAGAAACTTTGCCCATTGTTTCTAGCCGGCGCCCGGGATCGAACCCAGGATCACAAGTCCAGTGTGCTGTCCGCTCGACCGACCGGCTCCCTAGATTGTCCAAGACACAATCTCCAAGAGACAAATCGGTCACAACTATCTGTGCTAACTAGGTTAATGTTTGAGGAGCTATATTCAAACCAAACTAAGAACCTAGACAAGGCAAGCACAAAACCCTGTACCCTAACCAGTCCCTGAAACTTTGTGAATAGCAATGTATCCAAGAACCACCAGGCACATGTTTGGATAGGCACCATCCAAGAACCTTTCTGAAACACAAGGTAGACCCGAGATAATGTTTTCATGCAACACGTCGGACAGGGAATGAAGTTGTTCAAACCCAAGAGGATTGAAACTGTACCATAGGTCAGCCAAGTCATGCTTGTGCGAGACAACCTCATCACGATGACCACGTGGAGCTGAGAGGACTCATGACTCAAAACCCTTTAACCACTGTAATGCACATCATGTGATAACATGGTGAAAGGGAGCGTACCACCCTACACATACTACAAATATTATTGGAACAATATTTTTACTGGAATTTATTTAATTACTCTCATGAATATTGAGAGTGCAATGGGTTTTGCAAAATTTCTGGTATAAATGGTACATTTTTGAAAGCCCCAAGATTAAGACTTGGAAACTGAGGAGAGAGAGAGAGAAGAGGATGATTCAGTGTTTTATGTTAGCCAGCCAGCCATCTAAAAACATGTGACAACCTCCCACTCATTCCCAGAAAACAAATGAGGTCTGATAAGTCCAGTTGTCTGTGTGCTCCTAATTGTCTAGCCTTCTGCATACCTTCTCTGCTAACCTGGCTTGTATGCCTATCTGTTGACCTGATTGTTTACTTTGCATGGTTCCTGTAGGTTCTCAAGGGTTGTTCTAGTCCCAAATGCCATTCGGAGAAAACTGTGGAGTGGTGAATAATTTCACAGGATTCACGAACACTCATCAACTAATCCCACTTCTGATAATTATCTAATAAATCACAAGCAGCAGCTCTAGAAACAATTAATATCAGTCATATTACTTTTTAATATCCATTTCTTAGTGAAAAATGGAATTTGCTCAAAAAGTGTTTAGCCTCTGGAACCTACTCCTACATTTCACACGTGTTGTCAAATTCAACTTGAGCAGAAAAACACACGTGATTTTCTAGGAATGCAACCCACATCATTGAGGATCCAGGGTAATCATATTAAACTAATATGTTCTTTTTCAAGATATCAAAGGGAAAAACAGATAGCTACAAAGGGACAACAAAGCTCAGGGTAAGTACTTAGTAAGTACAGTACAAGGTAAATACTAGTAAGTACACAGTAAGTACCCATACTGCCTTGCTTAAATAAATTATTTTTAAGTTACAATCAATACAATTAAAGAAACCTGTCAGGACAATTACTTTCTTCTGGTGTGGAAGATCGTCTTTTCTGTTTGGAGGGCACCGGAGACATTTCCCTTACTTCACGTCTAGGCTGAGGGTCCTCACGATCCTCTATCTCTTCTTTCGCCTCTTGATACAAGGGTGGTGGAGGCTCAGGTCCCTCAAAGTCACTCGCCTCACCACTTTCAGGTCCTGAATCCTCACCCATATGAACCTCTGAGGCCGACAACGGCTTTACATCAGGAATTATGGTCTGAAAAGATATTAAAATATGGTGCAATGGAATTAAGGTTATTGTAGGGATATATCACGAGAAGCATAGGATAAAAACAAATCAAGCATTTAATGCAATGCTCTTTTTCTGGAAGATCTTTAGTATCCTCCTGGTGAACACACACTTATTGCAAAGCCTAATTATCATGCCAGGCCTCTGAGACCCATGTTAGCCTACAGAGCATGGGTCAGAAGTGCACTCTACAAGAGAAGAAAGTTTTGCGATCAAAGATCTACTCAAAACTGAGGATACCAACCAAAAAGATTAGGCAAAACAAAACATACAGATTGAAAAAAAAATTCCTAAGGTTTGCTGCAGGTGAGCAGCTCTCGCCCCTTAATAAACCCACCCACCCCAAAATAGCAGCCAGGGTCACTCTGGAACAAGCCTGCAGCCTACCTCACTCATAACTAAGCAAATCTAAACATGAATGACTACAATAGGTTAGGTACGGAAATCCAACAAGAAAAACAGCTTCTGTCAGTACAGATGGAGGAAGTTACACAGGGAATAGAACAATGTGGGTAGGATATGCAACTCATCTATGCTCAAGTGGCCAAAGAGAAAGAAAAATAGAAGAAGCATTAAAGGAAGCCAAACACTGCAGCAACCAAGATAAAACAAACATTAGGCTGGCAGTCAGAAAGGAATTGGCATCAAACCCGAAATTGGTGCAAATCAGTCGGTAAGTCCCAAATAATTTTTGGTTGCAAAGAAAAGGATATAACATCTAGACCAGAAAGAGCTGTAGAAGAAGCAAAAGTAGTAAATAAAACTCTTTCGTTGTAAGACCTTCCACTAGCCCAAGATAATGTCTGCAACTACATGAGAATAAAAAGGGAAAGATCGACCCTTGAGGATCACCCTGAACGGTGCTAAACAGATGGAAGAAATACTAAGAAATGTTAGATTAAAAAGTGATGAAGGTAAATTCTGGTCATTAAGACGAGATCTTTAAAAAAAAAAAAGACAGAAGCTGAAACTGAACTTTGTAGAGGAAAAACGTCTAAATGAGAGCAGGAACGAAGAAGAACTCAATTTTATTTTTGCCAAGCCAGTGAAAGGGTACAAAAATGCAAACCAACAAAATCACTACAGAAAGGGGAAGTGAAAAACAAGGAAAGAGGGACAAGGAACATGTTCCTGAAAATTGTATACACCAACATAGATGGAGTGAGATCATAGATACCAGTTAGGTGATGCAGCTGCAGACACCAGACATTTTTGCACTCAATGAAATGAAACTTGATGATATTTTAAATGAGGTCATATTCCCAAGAGGCTACCCAGTTTGGAGACGGGACAGAAAAATTCGGAAAGGTGATGGTGTTGCCAAGCTGGTGAAAGAACACCCAAAGGTAAACAAAATAATGATTGCTTTTTGGGAATCAAGTATGCAATGCATTATAATCTGAAAGAAAATGAGGAAGTTGAAGCAGTTGAAAAGCTTGATTTCAGGAGAGGACATTATGGGGAATTTAAAAAAAAAATTTAAGAAATTTGACTGGAAAGACTTGCTGTTTGGCAAGGAAGTAAATGAGATGTATGTCAAGTTTTGTGAAATACATGATAAAGGTACAAACAAATTTATACCAAAGCAGAGATGCAAAACTAGTTAACAGGATTGTTCCAACAGAAATTGTGAAAGGGCCAGAGACCAAGAGAGACAAAAATGGAATTGATATAGGAAGAGGTCAAACCCTCAAACATACCAGCAAAATAAAGAAGCAAAAAACAATTACACCACAGTGAGGAGAAAGGCAGGACAAAATTTTGAGAAAGGTATAGCGGACAAATGTAAAACAGAACCAGACCTATTTTATAAATTCATTGGGCATTGATCATCATTATTTGAAGCATCTGAAATGCTACCATGATGATTGCAGCTTCATTTTTTTCATACAAAAAATATATATGCACAGAAGAAATCTGTATGCAAAGGTAAGAAACATACCAAAATATTCAATGTTGCTTAGATAACTACTCCTCCATCCTAAGACATGAGAGACCAGGAGGTGAAGGACATCTGCCTTCACACTACATTGTGGCTTCTCATGACAGCAAAGAGATAATACTGAGCTATTAAGAGCCATATGGGTGCCATTGGTATTCCAGCACTGTAGTAAAAGGGTACTCCTCAGATTATATTAGCAGCGTCAAAGTTAATACATAAACAATATAAGAGTTTAAATAACATATTGTACCTTTAATGATGCAGAAGAAATATCGACAGATAACTTCTTTGAAGATGTATTGCCCCATTTCCTCTTCTTGGGTTTATCAGCATCTTCCTCATCACGAGACTTACCACGTGATAAACTTACTGAAATGAATAATAATAAAGTTCAGACCACATGACTTGGAATTCCTAAGTTAACTGTACACAACACACTTTCAGCATTTAACTTTCACCTGTGTCTAGTTTTGACTCCTACAATACTGCAATTTTATTGCCTCATTAATTTACTTTGTATTATGAAATCCATAACTTTTCCATCATTAACAGCTCTTGTCATACCATCTCATCCCACCAAGCAATTTATCTTTATTCTTCTACAAGTTTGTGCAACTACAATCCTGTATACATCTTGTATACATACATCTACAATCTTGTATATATACATTGTATAAATCTGTGCCACAGTCCTCGTGGCACAGAGGTAAAACACTCGCCTGGCACTTCGTGAGCGCTTTGCCCTGGGTTCATAGACTGGCCAGGCACCAATCCATAACTGTAGCCTCTGTACATCCAGCAGTCAATGGGTACCTGGTTGTTAAGTGATTCGGCAGACTGTGTTCCGGGAAAAATTAGGATTACGGACTTGCCTGGAACGCTATGCATGCTAGTGGCTTTACAAGTATATACGAACTCTTGTATGTATACATATGCACGTATTAAAAAAAATTAAATGTAACTGAGGTTTATTTGTTCATTGTCTCTTTCTCCAAGATGACTTTCATCTCCATTTTTGTATTCATCTACTAGTGTTCTGTCTCTCTCATTCACTCAGTATCTTAACTTTACTCTCGCACTTACTGGATCATGATGACCTACAATCACCCTTTTGTAACTATCTTATCACCAACATGCAATCATTCAAACCACCAGATAATCCAATCATTGCTCTTGAATCATACATACACAAACATACTTCTCCTGGGTCAAATTTTTATTTTCACCACAATTTCATCTTTCATTTCATTTGTAATTTAATTTCTTCATATTAGTAAGAAAAATACCTGCTCTTTCCAATAATGCAACTAGAAAAAAAATTGATAAGAAATTTTCATAATTCAAAAATTAAACAGAAATGCTTTTCGAGTCCACTTTCTAATTTGGATGATCCAAATAACTCGGTACCAGGTCACATGTGTTCCAAAGAGAAAGAACTGTTGCATTCTGACAGGCCTCAAAAATTATCTATAAATCTTACATGAATAAATGCAACCTAATGAATGCAAAGGTGCTGAAGATTCTATGATTTGATGAACTTGCAAATGTTAGATTAATATTAATGTCTGCTATTAATTATATTTTGTTCACACGAGAATACTAACCTTTCCTCACAGATTTGAAAGACGAATAATCAATCGTGATTTTGGTTTCTTTGTTCTCCTTTTCTTCCTCATGCTGCTTATCTGAGCGGACACTGTCTCTCCTGTTTTCTGAACGTGACTTGTCCCTCACAGGACTGCCCATCCCAGAACTGGACTTCTGTGTCTTTGCCTTTGGAGATCTGTAATGCAGTAAAAAGCAAATTAATAACACAAATTTAGATAGCAACTACAGTAATTGAGGGAAATATCCCCAGTTTATATACCAAGTAAATCTCATAATACAAAATGCCAAGTGTGTGACAGGACAATTTGCAAAATTACATTGCACTGTAATGATTCCTGGGAAAACAAGCAGACATCATGCATTCTTTTGAGGAACCACATGATCCCTGTGCGAAGCTATTTGAAAGATCAGTGTGTGTGTAGTCTGCAGTACTCCAATAGTGCACCTTTCACCATTTTTGTGCTTACCTAGCACTGCTAGCTTGCTTTCTGATGTTACTGTCTTCCTTTAGCCTTTCATTAGGATTATTACCTTTTATAGGTCATTTACCTGTCATGCTCTCTGACAGGTTTTCCAAGGAAATCTTTTACTGGTAATATCAACCTTCCAACTCGCACACCTTGCTTGTTAATGTCTGTGCGTAGCTGGCAATATGCATTTTAGTAGCAGCTAAATTGACTTCATAACTTGTTAACATAGCCATATGGTTGTATTATACTGTATTATACAACACAGTATTATATAATTTTTTATGTACAACACTGATTTTTGTGTTGATATTTTCAGTAAACAAAAAGTAAAATTTTCAGTACAGTAGAAATAGTGTTCGCTGCTGTCTAGTCTAGCCAGCAAGCCAGCCGGAACCAGAGACTGACCACGCCTGCTCCCAGTAACCCATTAGACGGTCACATATGCCTGGCAATATGGACACTGCCCCGATACTAGTGCCAATGAGGGTGGCACCCCAGAAATATATTTAAAGAATAGACAAATATAGAAGAAATGTAGATTATAGTCAAAACAATAAATACCTCTCTTATTGCATTACAATATATGTTCATGGCTTAATAGTACAGTGCAAGAGTTAAGGCTTTTAATAACACTCATGGGATCATTACCTTGAGCGAGAACGAGAATGCCGAGATTTTTTTCCACTTCCATGGAAATGAATAGGCCTGTGCTTTATTTTGTCTTCGTCAATGTTTTCTTTCAATTTTTCATGTTCTGGAGTACGGGAAGCCTGCCTCTTTCCTGGCGACTTCTTGCGATCAGACTCTGTCTTAGCAAACCCAAACCTCTTCCTAGAATGTCTAGACCTTGATCTTGAAGAACTGCTTGAACTAGAGGATGAAGATGAACGTGCCTTTTTGTGCTTTCTGTTTGAAGGCGACCTTGAAGAATCGGTAGATGATCTGAAAAGATACAACTAGCTTTAACATTCAATTAAATATTTGCATAAAAAGGAAAACTCACGCAAGTTCTTTTTAACTCCATAAAAGAAAAATCTTATTTAATACCGATGTAGGATAAGTCACAACAGCACGGTGCTTTTCTACTTAAAATAAGATGTGCTTTGATGGCAGAATAAACATTAGCAAATGCACTCTCAGCCTATACAATGATTTGGAAACATTCAACCAATTTGATCAAAAAACATAAATTAAGGAAACTGCAGAAGGCCAATAGCAGAATATGAAGCAGCAGCTATTTACATGCAACCAAACTCATTCAAATATATATGTCTAATTTATGCTTGAAACAAAGTGATGTCTGTCTAATATGTTAGCCAGTACTGTGTTCCACAAATCAAGAACCGTTTTAAAACCAGTACTTAACAAGGTTTTCCTGAATCTTAACTTGAGTTGATATATTTAACACCTTATTAATACTAAACATAATATGACATCATGAAGTAAAATCAAATACCATGGAGCAAGATCAAATGCCATGGAGCGAAACAAATTGCCACGGAACAAAGATCACATGCCATTGAGCAAGATCAAAATGCTATGGAGCAAATTAAAATGCCATGAAGCAAAATAAAACCAGTTTTGAATGTCATGAAATGACTCTTTCTGTTAAAGCTCTGCTGGGTCCCTAAAACTATCTTGCCGAGATGGCTCCCCACTACTGCATCACATCAGTCACAGAAATCCTGTTTGGCCTACCAGGAACCAGAGCCAGAATCTGGTTCCCTAAGAGAGGTGCAGAAAGCTGGGGATTATTAACATCATGCTCACAGTAAAAGCATCAATATAGTCAGCAAAGCCTTACATAGAACTGCAAGGTTTGAAGAAAACAAATAATTGAAATGGCCAAACAACTCTGCAAACAAGTTCATTCCTAAATAATTGGTTCACTTGAAACTAGATTGAAGCCATTAGTACCAATGGCTTACAGCCTAGAGCCTCTGGCCCACAGGAGGTTCCAAGATCAGTTTGGAGCTGATAAGACCCGGGAAGGGGGTGAGCGAGTCTGAGAGCCACCAAGGTTCTACCAGCCAGAGGAGTTTAATTACTGTACTATCAATCTTGATAGTCCACCGGGATCGAACCCGGAAACTCAGGATTACGAATCAGAAGCGCTGTTCACCTAGCTGTCAGGCGCCTGACAGTGTTGGTTTTCTGGAAGGCTCCTTGGTGGCTTCTTAAAGTTAACTACAGAAAAACAGGAAAACAAGGGACCCACCAGGAGGACAGATAGCAGATACTATTCATGCCTTGATCAAGGCATGGCCAGAAAACCCAGCCACACTAGATTGCGACCAGAGACATTAACCAAATACTGACCAAGACCCTGTAATATTCAGAACTTCCAAGCCTGAATATTATACCTCACGACATTTGCAGAAAACGGCAGATAATCCTGCATGTGTATGAACATGACAGATGCCTGAGTGTAGACTGAGGCCTGGTTAGTTTTGATGAAGCTAAGGATAATCTGAAAAATATGATTATTGGAACAGGATCCCATGGAAACATTGTCAAACAACAATGCATCCATCGAGGCAGAACCAGTAGAACACAGGTAATGGTGAAGCATTACCACCAGACAACACATGATGCCACTCCGACAGGACCAACCATCAATCATCATAGTGGGTCCCCCCCCTCTGAAGCCAGTCAATTCATTCTTTGCCAGAAGTGAGAAGGATGCAGACAAACAAACTCCCCACCAAGGCTGAAGGAACGGAACCCCTGCCTCCAAAGAAGAGTATGAAGCTTCCCAACCCTGCAACCAGAGTCAAGAACCAACAAAACACTGTCTAAAGGAAACTATTACTGACCAAAGGGGCAAAGGTGAAATAAGGAGAGGACAGAAAGACAAATATCTTCTCAAGCAACCAAGATGGCTCAGGACCAGCAGAAGCCAGCACGAGGTGAAAGATCGCCTCAGACAACTTGCAGATTGGTGCTGAAACTGTATGAAAGCATTTGCCATTGGCTCTGCCAAAGGCAAATGGTAAGACAAAACAACTAGGGCATCATCAATACTTGCATCAATAACTTGAGACTTGCAGAGCCGAGGAGGTCGAACCAGTGAGGTATACAATCAGGCTGATCTGTTGAAAGTGGCAGATCGAGAAAATGCCAGGGCTCCAACAGAGGGCCAGAAGAACAAGAAACAAAGGTTAAGCTGGCTTTAAGAGCTAGAAGAACCAACCCTGAATAAGGTTCCAATTGGGATAACACCCAGAGCAACAACCTAACTGGGGAGGAAAAGGGGAAGAGATTATATTGAGGTTATATCGAGATGATTTTGGGGCTTAGTGTCCCCGCAGCCCAGTCCGTGACCAGGCCTCCTTTTTGTTACACATCTCCAGGAAGCAGCTTGTAGCAGCTGTCCAACTCCCAGGTACCTATTTACTGCTAGGTAAACAGGAGCATCAAGGTGAAAGAAACTCTGCCCATATATTTCCGCCTCCACCGGGGATCGAACCCAGAACCTCAGGACTATGAATCCCAAGTGCTGACCACTCAGCTGTCAGGCCCAGCCTCAGCTCTGTCAGGTAAATGAACGTCCACGTCAAACAGTCCAGCAGAAAAGGATCTGTTGCAAGACCTGTAAATCCTATTTGGCCTACTGAGGAACAGAGCCAAAACCTGGTTCCTTTCAGGAAACACCCAGAGCAGAGTCTTATTAACATCATCCTCCTCCCTGGGAAAGCATCCAGAAAGCAAGCCAATCTTTATAGATAACTGCAAAATTCATAGAAAACAAAGCATTGCAATGGCCAAAGGACTCTACCAACGATTCATTTCAAACTATTTGGTTCAATTTAAAGTAGCTTGAACCCATCAGTGCTAGTTGGCTGTCTGGAGCCCCCTGCCCACAGCAGGTTCGAAGGCGAGTCCTGCTGCTCATGTGGTCGATTCTTATAGTGAGCGTCTAGGTTGCCTTCTTTCGCAACGGGCCCACTACTACTCAGCTTTGTGCCAGTCACCCTTCGAGCTTTGTCCTGGGGAGATCTATTTGTTTGTTTTGTTTCTTTTATTTTCATATTTACTTTATGTGCATGTTTTTCTTTTCTGGCTGTGATGTGTGGACTTTGCTTGTTGTGCACTTCAGGCTGCATGCACTTGAGGTTTTCTTCCCTGGGTGATCATTTAGTGCTGCCCCCTGTACTGATATTATTGCTTCTCAAGCGAGTGCGTGAGTTTTTTGTTGTTGTTGTTTGTATAGATTCAGCTACTCGGAACAAGTTCCAAATAGCACGGGCTATGGTGAGCCCGTAATGGACTTACCTGCACAGGAGCGGTGCTGTGTGACCTGAGTTTGTTACCTGGAGAGGGTTTTGGGAGTTCTTCTACTCCCTGATCCCCGCCTGGGCTGGGGGGTTGAGTTTGACAAGAGGCCTGGTCATCGAGATGGAGAGCCTTGTCCTGGGCAATACAAGTCATTGACTCCTTGGTGTAGGTCCTTGGTTAGGGGTACCGTATTGGTTGTGAGATGGGGGTGTGCTAGAGTAGTCATGCTTGTATATATGGCACACGTTGGGCACTCTTTATAGCTACATTGTTATAAGCTGTTGTTGGCGTCTGTTCTTTCAGTCCCTAGTGCCTGGGTTTCCTGCTTAGCTAGTTACCTTGCCACAGACAGGGACAGCAAAAGCTGAAAGCACAGATGAGTTTCGCTAGTTACCTTGCCACAGACAGGGACAGCAAAAGCCGAAAGCACAGATGAGTTTCGCAGCCTGATATACAGCTGCACGAGGGGGTGGTTTGGACAAACCCAAAGTTCAACACCAAAATGGCAAAGCCAGCTGACATGCTGGTCATTTAATATGCTCATGCAGTCTATGATGAACAATTATATTAGGTGTAAAAAAAAAAAGGGGGAATAATATCCCAAACAAAAAACTGTTTTTTGTGCATAAACTTGCCTGCAAGAAGAATAAATTTTGTGTGTTGCCTGGAACATAGTTACTCAAGAGGAGTCACACTCAAGAGGAAAAAATGCTTAACCCTTCAACCCAGATTTACAAAGAAACTTGAGAAGACCCCAGAGAAAGAGACCCTGGCCACAGCCAAAGCTAAATAGAAGTTACAGCACCCATAATGCGAGTGCAAACACAACTGTGAAAAGCACAAAAGAAAAAGAATAAAAAAGAAAAACAATGAAATGGCCCAAGCAGAACACAAGTTCCATGGAAAGCCAATCCCACTTAGCTGGAAATCTGTAGAGGCTACAGGAGGGACCAAGTGCTGGAGGTATCTAGTCACAGAGGCTAATGAGTACAGGAGTAGGCCATATGGTAATGTAGATAATCTGGGCAGCCACCTAATGGCAGTCAGGTCCATCACAGTTAGGGTGGTTTCCCCAAGGCATGGATCATTTGCCTTGCTTAATGGAATGGAGGAGTAGGGGGTGGGAGTAACTCCCACTTGAGCAGTCATTTGTTTTGTTGTGCCTATGCATTCTAGCAGGGTTTTACAGTGGTTTGGTGTTAATGTCTGATCTCTAGCCTCCTAGAGGGAAGTCTGTAGAGGAGTCTAGTTTCCATTAGGGCGAAGAGGTCTCAGAAGACCTCAGGTTAAGTTACCCAGAGTAAAAGTTAGGCAAGCAACTGTGGGGGGAGGGCCCCAGAAAGAGTATACATCTAACAGATGGTGGCATGACTTGTTATTATCTCAACACCAGAGTTCAGAGTGTAATAAATCCTATCACATTAGCTCCATTAAATGAAGCCATAAATCATGATGTTCACCAATATTCTACAATCAAGACAAAATATTGTACTCTCTAATATACCTGCTTTCTGAGGGAGACTTGTCTTTTCTGCTTCTTCCCTCATTCCTCTCCGATTTATCTTCCAGCATTGTTACTTCATTCCTGTGTAACCGAGGACGAGAAGACTTCTTGGCTTCTTCAACAGAAACTTTGTGTCCCCTCGAATCTCGCCTACCATCTACACTCTTCCTCTTGTCACGTCTCTCCTCATCACTACCAGAGTTTCTCCTGTTACTTAATCGCGATGCATCCTGCTTTACTTTTTTAGGAGATGGTGACCGTGAGGCACTAGACGATCTGAAAATATTTTTGTAAATTACCTTAATTATATTTAGCACCTTGACTGTAGAAAAAAAAGGTACAAAACCAGCATTGAATGTAATGAAAAGCCATTTTCTGAGTGAGTCCCAGAGGCTCTCTGAAGCTCTCTGCACTGATATATGCTATATTAGTTTGGGGTCATCAGTCACAGGAGTCCTTATGCCTACTGGGGGACCACGAGTCAGAAGCTGGGTATTAAGTAATATTTTATATTTCAGTGTATATATGGCAACCAAAAGGAACAAGCTTAGGTGGGGAAATGCCATCCAACCATACCTTAAAAATCAGACAACAAAGTAATGAAAATTAAAAAAAAAAAATTTATGAACAAAGTAGTAATACTTACTGACTAATGGAACGTGATCTGTCCTTTCTTGCTTTCTTCTCAATTTGGTTCTTTTCATCTGTCATTTTAACCTCATTTCTCTGAAGCTTTGGCCGAGAAGATTCCTTTTTTTCTTCCTTTGGGTTTGAGGTACGAAAACTTTCACTCTCCTTTTCTGATCTGTGCTCATCATTTTTGGTATTCAACCTTCTCTTCCTCTTTCCCTCTTCCTTCTTACCACTTTCTTCAATATCCCTGCCAGATTTTTTAGCAGAATGTCTCTCTTTTGTGACTATGCTTTCTGCATTTGTCTCTTTAGTTTTTCCAGGAGACTCTTCTCTCGGTCCTTTAGGAGTCTCATCACCTTCCTTCTTCTCTGGCTGCTCGACTTTATTGTCCTCTTCTTTCCCTTTCAAGGGAGGCTCCTTTGGAATATCCAACAGACTTTGAGGGGGTTTCTCGTCTTCTATGCTTGAAACATCCTTTGGAGTTTTGTTTTCCAATTTTTCATTTTCACTAACATGTTCTTTTTCAGTATCCATGGTCTTCTTGGGTGTTTCACTTTGATTTTCACTTATTTCTTTGATGCTCTCTAGTTTCTGGCCACCAATACCCACCTTACCTTCTTGGCTTTCTTCCTCCGACACTTCCAACTCGATGCTGCGACCTCGTGAAGATCTTCTTCGTGACCTTGCAATAGGGGTGTGGACTTCTCTTTCTGTGCTCTCTCCTCTCAAACTCTTACGTCTTGTTGGCCCTCTCTGAGAGCCAGTCTCCTCCTCCTTGTCACTATTCTGACTCTGAGACAGTCTTCTTGTTTTTGGCTTGCTGCTCTCTGCCTCAGCAACTTTATCTTTCTCTGAGCTCCTACCACGAGAGCTACGTCTGAGGTGGCTTGAATTCATGCTCTCCTCTTCCTGCACCTCACCATTGCCACTGTCTCCCTTAGTCTTACTTCGTGTGCTTCTCTGCAAAGTCTTGCGGGAGCTGTTTCCTTCTTCCACGTCTTGATGGCTATCATTGCTATTTTCTTCCCCAGAAATTTCATTAATTTTCTTACTTCTACGAGAGCTCTGTGAAGCTGCATCGTTCTCCCCCTCAGTTGCCCCTTCTGCCTTCCTACGACGAGCCATCTGCAAAGAGATTTTTGCTAACAATCAATGTCAACTTCTATAAAGCACAATGAAATCACATTAATGTGATATATTATATCAATGAGAAATGCAGTAGGGCTATGAGGAGGATTCAAATCCTCTCACTGAGTACTCCTAAACAAACAACCTAAAGCACGACACCACAACATGGCCAAAAGAAGTGCAACTTGGGATTCCACCGAATCCTCTAGGAATCCTGAGGCTTCCAAATGAAGTCCAATCAGGGCTTCACACATTACTCCCATGCATTCTGATTTATGTCTAGTAGTTCTACATCTAATGCTTCTCTTTTAAATGCACAATTTTGTTGCGTGTTTGACAAGATGACAATAAAGGATATTTTAATTCACGCTGTGATAAAGGATACGTAACAATGCGATTTTATTGTGCAGTTAACGAGAGGCATTGGAGGAATTTCTGGACCACATGCTAGAGTGTATGGGACCAATGTGTGAAACCCTGATTGCGTTTCAGTTGGAAGCCTCAGGATTCCTAGAGGATTCAATGGAATCCCAGGTTGCACTGCTTTTGACCATGTCATGGTGTAGTGGTCTAGGGTGTTTGTTTGGGAGTACCAAGTGAGCTGTTTCGAATCCTCCTCGTGGCTCCTACTAATTTTCTCAACTTCTGTAACATACTTCTCAGCTAAGATTATAAAACTAATGCCCAATAACAGAGTTCATATATATTTCAATGACTGACTATGCAAAATATCTAAAGCTGGGCCTTGAGATTATAGCATATTTCAACTTACAGCCTGAAAGTAACTCAAAATTTAAAGTAAATGCAATCATATAACAGTATTTGATTATCTAGTGAGAAAATATATTTTCAGTAGAGCACATGAAACAAAAGATAAAAGTGAGTAGGTTTTTCTCTTTAATTTTGTGCATGTGCATAAGGTAAGGAAACCTTACCATATCCAGAAAGGAAACACATAAGATGTATGCCAGTTTGAGAGATATATGAGAAAGGCGCCCAAACATTTATAAGAAAACAGAGAAGCAAATATAGGAAACAAGATGGGAATAATAGAATGTTTGTGGAGAATAAAAAAAAAAAAAAAAATTGGAGTCAAATATAGGGGTGGTCAAACCCACAAACATACTAGTACTACAAACAAGCAATAAACAACTATACAGCAGTGTGAAGATAAACAAAGAAACTTTGAGACAGAAATAAGAGACCAATGTAAAACAGAACCCCTGCCTATTCCATACATTTATAAGAGCAATTTGCAAGTGAAGTCAAAATCCAAAGATTACATATGGGAGATAAACTTACGGAAGCTGAAAAGGAAATCTGTTAAATACTAAATGAACAGTTCTAAGGTGTGTTCATGCAGGATGAGACTCGGTAAAGCACACTCAATATTGCTTTTCAAATGTAAATAATGTAAATAAGAGTGCACAAAAATGAATATAGTAGTTGTAAAACTGCTTTCAGCACTAGACAAAAATAAAGCAGTCAAACCAGATGGAGTTTCATCTTGAATACTAAGGGGAATATGTATAAAAAAAAATTCCATCCGACTACAGATTATTTTTTAAACACCCTTACAAACAGTGAACTTAATTAGCACAAGGAGAGGCAAACATAGTTCCAATCTATAAGAATGGAAACCTGCAAGACCCACTTAACTATAGACCTGTATCACTTACAAACATGGTAATAAAAGCACTTGAAAGTAAATAAATAAAACAAAATGAGCACAGTATCTGGAAATTAACAATATAACAGCAATAAACTTTTGTCAGACCTGCAATAGAGACTCTTCTGACTTCTATATTGGACGAGAATATTTGAATCGGGCAAATGATAGCAATGACTAGAAGCAATGTATTTGGCAGAAGAAATGTCACTAGTAGAGTACCTCAAGGTTCAGTTTTTGCACCACAGTAATGTTCATTAGCTATATAAATGATCTACCAGAGGTAATACAGTTACATAAATATGTTTGCAGATGGTGATAAGTTGCTAGGGGGAACACATGGCATATATAATTCAATATGACAATCTCACAATGGAATGCAGAATAGGGGAGAACAAGTAACACTTAAAATACAAATTACTGTATGTGAAAAGATACTAAACACCTCTGACAAGGAGAGATCTAATAGCGGTTCTGAATAGTAAGCTGTTACCAGAGGATGGCATACAGGGCATCGAGTGTGCGTCCTACACTAGCAAATTTCAGAACCATGTTTAAATAGAGGCATTGAGATGTATTTAAGAAATGTTCACATAATTTGTAAGACCAAAATTGAAGTGTGTAGCAGTGGTATAGTGCCCACATTTGAAGCAGCACACGATAAAAGACATTTAAGCACATGAGCAGTGAGTAAAGGCTGGGGGGGGGGCATTAAACATGCAAAGTATAGAAGATACGAGAAAAAAAAGAGGGTACGACCACTGTCTACACTCAGTAATCCGACTCATATGGGCACACTTGAGTTAGCCAAACATTCAACTGCCAAATTTCTTTACCAGGTACATAAGAAAATGTACAAATTGGCAAGTTTTTGTACCGAAACCCGGGTAGTTCTGCTGTTTACCTGCATGTTCCTGCCATTTACTCACACATCCTAAGATTCACCTGCTTATTCTCATCCTTTACCAAAACATTCAAATGGTTTACTTGCTTATTCCTACAGTTTACCAAATTATTCCTGCAATTTACTCGAGAAAGATGAAAGTGAATTCATTTGGGTTACCAGAATTTGGATTACCAAGCCCTACAATATGTATAAAATAGTAACAGCAATCAACAAAACAGCTTATGTCATTTATGTAGACAATGAGCATCACTGGTGCAAGAACTGAACCCTATGGTACCCCACTAGTGAGATTTCTCCAGTCTGATACATTCCCTCTGATAACTGCCTTCATTTTCTGTCATTTTCATCTATGTTAGCAGCCTCCCTGTATGTTTCAGTTTTCAGAACAACCTCCTGTGTGGGACTGCCAAAAGCCTTTTTCTAGGTCCAGATAAATGTAGTCAACACAACCCTCTGTTTCCTGTCAAATCTCTGTGACTATCAAAGAAACTAAGTAGACGTTACAAAGGATCTTCCAGATTGAAAACCATATTGTCTGTTACATAATTTTTTCTGCTCCATTGGGTATTCTACCCATTTGATTTAAATTATTTTTCCAATAATTTGACTACTACACTAGTCAATGATAAAAGTCTTCCCTACTGCCACTTTTGTACACTGGAACTATGTTAGCCTTTTACGATATATCTACCAAGACTCCTGTACAGAGATGACTGAGAAAGCAAATGAAATGGAATGCTGAGCTCAGGTATTCATTCCCAAGGTGAAACCTGGTGTGAGTGTGTGTGTGTGTGTGTGTGCACGTGCATGTTGAAAAAGCCCATAGTCATGCTGGCATCAGTGAGAACAGAATTCAGGATGGAATGGAGGGAGGAAATACATTTGAGTGGGAGCACACAGTATCAAACTCTCAATTTTCGAACCAAAATGTTAACCTAGGATTTCTTTGCTCTATCCTACACAGAAAATGGTGACTGCATGACAATTGCATATTGTGATGTCTTTTTTGAAACTGCACCTTCTTGCAAGTACACACACTGTTGGTCATGATAGTGTTTGAACTTGCCTAATTGTGCTTGATGTGAGGAAAAACCACCTTTGACTGCTCCTGGTAAGATAATTGTCAATTTGATGCAGTACATTACTATGCAATTTTTTTTATATTTTACTGAATTATAATTTTTTTTTTATATAACCTTTTTCAAAATAATGTATAAATAAAAGCTTGTATATGCAATGTAGGTGGTGGTTTAAGCCTATTCATAACTGTGCATAAAAAAAATAAGGTATTCTATTGGAAATACCTAATCTCACTAGCTAGTGAACAGCTTACCTCTGAGATCAAGGATATTTCACTGCAGTGATCCAAGGAGAAATCTGTGACAATATTTGAAGACACTGGAGGTGGGACCGTCTCCGAGTCCTTGCTGCTAACACAACCCAACTCCAGAGGTATCAAGCTACCGATTTCCCTTAATTTTTCAATGTGCCTTTTGGATACTGCTATGCTATGAAGATCAACGTTTTCTCTCTTCTCCCTCTGCACTTTATATTTTTCTCCACTCACTTCAATTGTATCTTTTTCGGAATCTGGATTTGTTTTTTCAAAGTCCCACTTTATTTCACCGCTATTACTCTTGTGCACGTTATCTGAAGATACTAATAAAACCTTTGGTGAACACAAAGCCCTCTCGACCGAAGCTGGGTTTGAATAAGACGAAGTGCCGACTTTAAGACAACTGAATTTTGAGTCTGTAGATTCCTTGTTAACTAAGGATGATTCTGAAGATGCACTTATTTTAGGATCTTCAGTCTTCTCTGAAGACAATACTTCAATAATTGGATAAGTTGTGGATTCTGTACAAACAACTGGCAAGACTTCAGCCTTTGTAATTTCTGTGCTATCAACCGAGAGACCTATGTTCGGGGCTCCTGTACCCCCAAACGAAGTAACTGCTGTCTGTGTAACAGTTGTGAATATTTCAGACTTTGCAGCAGTATTAACACTCAACAAATTTGTGTGTGTGTTTGTTGTGCTAACAATTGGTAACACGTCTGTCTTTGTGGCTTCTGGTCCAAGCGAACAGATTTGTGTGTTAATAACAGGACACGCTGTTTTTTTTGAGAAAGTTGTGCTACCAACTAAACCAAATTCTACCTTTGTAGTCCCTTCCCTCTTAATGTTGTCAGCTCCTATTCTTGAGGTCACTGCATCTAAATGCTGATATGTGTCAGTCTCAGCAGTTCCTATTTGTAACTGTTTTCTGGATTCAGACTTTACAAAAGAATTGTCTTCAGAGTTAGTTGCTGCAGCACTGACAACAGGATGAGCTTCTGACTTGTCTGTGACTGCTGTATTAGCAAATGAATCTGTATCTGCTGGACTTACAACTGGTTGAATACTACTTTTGGTGTCACTCTGAACTACCTCAGTTTTTAAATGTTTTGCAGTTGCTATCCTTACCAGCGAGTGTGTTTCAGTCGTACTAACTGTACCACACACAGCAGAATTAGTTTCTGACTGAACTGTGGTTGGTTCACTTGAAACAAGGTTGATCTCGGTACTTGTTGCAGATTTACTAACAGGACAAATTATTTTTTGTTTTGTTGTGGAATTATGAACATGACAATTCTTCTCTTTTGCAGATGCTGAGCTATCAGCACAGTAAGCTACTTCTTTTAGAGTCTCTAAACTACAAGGGCTAATGCTCTTTGTGGATCGGAGATTGTCAACAAGCTGAACTTTTTCTTCTGTTGGTGTGCAGTCTAGAGTCGGGCTTTGGTTTTTGTAGTTTGTAACAGTTTCACTTGAAAGAGGAATTGAGCTTTTAAGGGGTGCAGACTTTCCACCTGGTATTTCCCAAAATCTACTGATTGAAGATTTGTGTTTACCTTCCTGTTCAATAAAGTTCTCTGTATTCTTGGAACCTGAAAATTTATCAACAGTTTTAAACTTAAATTTTTCAGTAACCACTTCCTCCTCTCTATGGGGTGCACTTGTTAAGCCTTGAGAGTTGCTATGAATCAATTTTAACTCACTTTCCGCACTTTCCAGGTAAATCTCACCCGGGAGTAAAGTATTTTTAGTCAGGTTAATGTAGGTGCTTTTATTTAATTCTCTATCCTGAGTTATGCTATTACTGAATGACATAGAACATCCTGGTCCATCAGACTTGTATGTTGCTATAGTATCAAATTTACTAGAATCCTTTTCTTTAACACAATGCTTTTCTGAATCTGCACGTTTTCTCCCTGTTTCTATAACTAAGCTGTCTTGACAAGCTGTGATTTTCTCGTCAGAACTGCCTACACTTCCATCTATGATAGAAGAAAATACTTCCTTATTAGGAAGAGTAGCAATATAACCAGAGTTTCCTAAACACCCAACTTTTGTCTGATGGATAGTCGATAATTCTTTAGTTTTTCTTGGACTAGCTTCCAATTCCTCGAAAACTGACTTTTCTGATACACCTGTTTTAGTTTCTTGAACAGTGTCTGAAGTCTTGTAACAAGTATTACTCAAATGAGTTTGATCTTGAAATTTTTGGTCAAGGTTGACCAAGCTTTCAAGTTTCTGTTTGCTGATTAGAGGAGAGACTTGTTCTTGACTTATATCAAGGTGAGGAGATTTATTAACTGTACTTCTAAATTCAAATATTGGATTACAATTTCCAAATGATTTTGATTCTTGAGTAGACTTACACACTGAGTTTGACTGAATTACACATGGGGGGGAAGTTATATGTGAACTTTGAACACAAGGTGTCAATTCTGCAGAAAAGCTCTTATTAGAGACAGTACCAACTTCTTGAATCACTTGAGGCTCTTTTTCACTTAATATAAAAGATTCACTCGCTTTAGTAGTAGCGTTATCTTCACTACGAAGAGGGTTACTTATAACAGACTCCTTACAAAGTGTATGATGCTCCTTTATTTCTGACCCACAAGAATAATCTGCCTTAGTGTTTTTACTTACACTTTTATCACCTTCCTTATCAAAACTTTCAACTTTAATACTGTCAACACTTTCTTTCGCTTCCACTAAAGGTTCTACTCTGGGTGTAAATTTTGATGCATTTGATTGTGATATAGAGTGAATGTCAAGTTTAGTTTCTTTTGTCCTTGCTTCAGCAGCACCTTCTATAACAAACTCTACCTCAGATCTAGATTCAGCTGGTTTGGTTTCAGAGTCAAAAGAAGACTTTAATTTACAAGCGTGTTCAGTTACCCTCGAATCTGAAGTCGATTGATGTTTAGCATTAAATACTTTTTTTTGTGAGGAAGCCTCTAGATTACAGTTTATTTCAGCTGATTTTAACTTTGATCTGTCTGTTCTCAATTCACTATATTTTAATTCTAAAACTGACTTGGCTTTACAAGTAATACCAACACCTTTTGAATCTACACCAGATTCTTCCTTCTTTGTTAAGTTATCTTTGTTCTCTGGTACACCTGATGATGCTTCAGAATAATACCCTGCTTCACTTCTTGCTACAGATTCTGTTGCAAAACCTGTTTCCTTCTTTAATAGCACAACAGATGCGTTGTGTAAAATTGGTTCTCCCTCACTTCCTGAGGAAACTGAAGGAACAAATTGGTGCTCTAAGACGAGCTTTTCCAAGTTTATTGAATTGTCAGACTTGTGGTCTGAAGCTGAGCTTTCCTGGCCTCTTAATGCAACAAGTTTAATATCAGGATAGGGTATTTCCTCACTTACTGATAAACCTGCTCTTGTAATTTCTACAGTAGATTTCTCATCACTTCTTAATGCAACAGGTTTGTCATACAAGAGAAGCTCATCCTTCGTACTGGTTTGTTTAGGGTTTGCTTCAGAGTTGTCGTTTTCCTCGCTCAATAAAACGGGTTCAGTTTCAGGAGCAAATATTTCCTCGATTAATTTATCAAACTTGGCATTAAAAGAATCGTCTTTTTGTGATGCAGAAATTTCATGAGCTGAGAAAGGCTTTTTATCACTTTTGGATTTATGCTTTTTACCATCTAATGTTAAATCTTCCTCACTTAATTTAATACGTTTATTGCCAGAGTTATATTTTTCTTCACTTGATGAAACTTTTCTAGTTTCTGGAACTGAAATTACCACACTTAATTGAAAAGGTTTAGCATCTTGAGAAAAACTTTCCTTCCTTAGTCCAATAGATTCAATACCTGGCTCAAACTTTTCCTTGCTACCTGACTCGTCAGAGATCCTATCTGGAGTAGAATTTTCCCCACTTTTGGATATAACAGCAGGTTCAGTACATGGATCAGATTTTATCCAGCTGCATAGTTTGTCAGGTTCTCTGTCAGCATAATTTTCTACACTTCTTAATGAAACGGGTTTACTGCAGGAATCAACTTTTTCCTCACGTACTGCGACAGGTTTACTGTCTCGACTAGTTTTGTCCTCACTTACTGTGACAACAGGAATAATCTCAGAATCAACTTTTTCCTCACTTACTGTAACAGGTTTAGTGTCTGAATCACCTGTTTCCTCACTTACTGTTACAGGTTTAGTGACTGGATCACCTGTTTCCTCGCTTACTGTAACAGGTTCAGTGTCTGGATCACCTGTTTCCTCACTTACTGTTACAGGTTTAGTGACTGGATCACCTGTTTCCTCACTTACTGTAACAGGTTCTGTGTCTTGATCAGCTGTTTCCTTACTTACTGTAACAGGTTCTGTGTCTGGATCAGCTGTTTCCTCACTTACTGCAACAGGTTCTGTGTCTAGAACAGCTGTTTCCTCACTTACTGCAACAGGTTTAGTGACTGGACCACCTGTTTCCTCACTTACTGTAACAGGTTCTGTGTCTTGATCAGCTGTTTCCTCACTTACAGTAACAGGCTCTGTGTCTAGATCAGCTGTTTCCTCACTTACTGCAACAGGTTTAGTGACTGGACCACCTGTTTCCTCACTTACTGTAACAGGTTCTGTGTCTGGATCAGCTGTTTCCTCACTTACTGCAACAGGCTCTGTGTCTGGATCAGCTGTTTCCTCACTTACTGCAACAGGTTCTGTGTCTGGATCAGCTGTTTCCTCACTTACTGTAACAGGTACAGTGTCTGGAGCACCTGTTTCCTCACTGACTGAAACAGGTACAGTTTCTGGAGCACCTGTTTCCTCACTTACTGTAACAGGTACAGTGTCTGGATCAACTGTTTCCTCACTAACTGCAACAGGTTCAGTGTCTGGATCAACTGTTTCCTCACTAACTGCAACAGGTTCAGTGTTTGGATCAACTGTTTCCTCACTAACTGCAACAGGTTCAGTGTCTGGATCAGCTGTTTCTTCACTTACTGCAACAGGTTCTGTGTCTGGATCAGCTGTTTCTTCACTTACTGCAACAGGTTCTGTGTCTGGATCAGCTGTTTCTTCACTTACTGCAACAGGTTCTGTGTCTGGATCAGTTGTTTCCTCACTAACTGCAACAGGTTCTGTGACTGGATCAGCTGTTTCTTCACTTACTGCAACAGGTTTTGTGTCTGGATCAGCTGCTTCTTCACTTACTGCAACAGGTTCTGTGTCTGGATCCGCTGTTTCTTCACTTACTGCAACAGGTTCTGTGACTGGATCAGCTGTTTCTTCACTAACTGCAACAGGTTCTGTGTCTGGATCAGCTGTTTCTTCACTAACTGCAACAGGTTCTGTGTCTGGATCAGCTGTTTCCTCACTAACTGCAACAGGTTCTGTGTCTGGATCAGCTGTTTCTTCACTTACTGCAACAGGTTCTGTGTCTGGATCAGCTGTTTCTTCACTTACTGCAACAGGTTCTGTGTCTGGATCAGCTGTTTCTTCACTAACTGCAACAGGTTCTGTGTCTGGATCAGCTGTTTCCTCACTTACTGCAACAGGTTCTGTGACTGGATCAGCTGTTTCTTCACTTACTGCAACAGGTTCTGTGACTGGATCAGCTGTTTCTTCACTTACTGCAACAGGTTCTGTGTCTGGATCAGCTGTTTCCTCACTTACTGCAACAGGTTCTGTGTCTGGATCAGCTGTTTCTTCACTTACTGCAACAGGTTCTGTGACTGGATCAGCTGTTTCTTCACTTACTGCAACAGGTTCTGTGACTGGATCCGCTGTTTCCTCGCTTTCTGCAACAGGTTCTGTGTCTGGATCAGCTGTTTTTCACTTACTGCAACAGGTTCTGTGTCTGGATCAGCTGTTTCTTCACTTACTGCAACAGGTTCTGTGACTGGATCAGCTGTTTCTTCACTTACTGCAACAGGTTCTGTGTCTGGATCAGCTGTTTCCTCCCTTACTGCAACAGGTTCTGTGTCTGGATCAGCTGTTTCTTCACTTACTGCAACAGGTTCTGTGACTGGATCAGCTGTTTCTTCACTTACTGCAACAGGTTCTGTGTCTGGATCAGCTGTTTCCTCCCTTACTGCAACAGGTTCTGTGACTGGATCAGCTGTTTCTTCACTTACTGCAACAGGTTCTGTGACTGGATCAGCTGTTTCTTCACTTACTGCAACAGGTTCTGTGACTGGATCCGCTGTTTCCTCGCTTTCTGCAACAGGTTCTGTGTCTGGATCGCCTGTTTCCTCACTTACTGTAACAGGTTCTGTCTCTGGAGCACCTGTTTCCTCACTTACTGCAACAGGTTCTGTGACTGGATCAGCTGTTTCTTCACTTACTGCAACAGGTTCTGTGTCTGGATCAGCTGTTTCCTCACTTACTGCAACAGGTTCTGTTTCTGGATCAGCTGTTTCCTCACTTACTGCAACAGGTTCTGTTTCTGGATCAGCTGTTTCCTCACTTACTGCAACAGGTGCTGTGTCTGGATCAGCTGTTTCCTCCCTTACTGTAGCAGGTTCAGTGTCTGGATCACCTGTTTCTTCACCTACTGCAACAGGTTCAGTGTCTGGATCACCTGTTTCCTCACTTACTGCAACAGGTTCAGTGTCTGGATCACCAGTTTCTTCACTTACTGTATCAGGTTCAGTGTCTGGATCACTTGTTTCCTCACTTACTGCAACAGGTTCAGTGTCTGGATCACCTGTTTCCTCACTTACTGTAAGAGGTTTAGTGTCTGGATCAGCTGTTTCCTCCCTTACTGCAACAGGTTCAGTGTCTGGATCACCTGTTTCCTCACTTACTGCAACAGGTTCTGTGTCTGGATCACCTGTTTCCTCCCTTACTGTAACAGGTTCTGTGTCTGGATCAGCTGTGTCCTCCCTTACTGTAACAGGTTCTGTGACTGGATGAGCTGTTTCTTCACTAACTGCAACAGGTTCTGTGTCTGGATCAGCTGTTTCCTCACTTACTGCAACAGGTACAGTGTCTGGATCACCTGTTTCCTCACTTACTGCAACAGATTCAGTGTCTGGATCAGCTGTTTCCTCACTTACTGCAACAGGTACAGTGTCTGGATCACCTGTTTCCTCACTTACTGCAACAGATTCAGTGTCTGGATCAGCTGTTTCCTCACTTACTGCAACAGGTTCAGTGTCTGGATCACCTGTTTCTTCACTAACTGCAACAGGTTCTGTGACTGGATCAGTTGTTTCCTCACTTACTGCAACAGGTTTAGTGTCTGGATCAGTTGTTTCCTCACTTACTGAAACAGGTTTAGTGTCTGGATCAGTTGTTTCCTCACTTACTGCAACAGGCTCAGTGTCTGGATCAGTTGTTTCCTCACTTACTGCAACAGGTTTAGTGTCTGGATCAGCTGTTTCCTCACTTACTGCAACAGGTTTAGTGTCTGGATCAGCTGTTTCCTCACTTACTGCAACAGGTACAGTGTCTGGATCACCTGTTTCCTCACTAACTGCAACAGATTCAGTGTCTGGATCAGCTGTTTCCTCACTTACTGCAACAGGTTCAGTGTCTGGATCAGCTGTTTCCTCACTTACTGCAACAGGTTCTGTGACTGGATCAGCTGTTTCCTCACTTACTGCAACAGGTGCTGTGACTGGATCAGCTGTTTCCTCACTTACTGCAACAGGTGCTGTGACTGGATCAGCTGTTTCCTCACTTACTGCAACAGGTGCTGTGTCTGGATCAGCTGTTTCCTCACTTACTGCAACAGGCTCAGTGTCTGGAGCAGGTATAGTATCTGGCCCAGCTTTTTCAACAATTAATGTAACAGGAACAGTGTCTGGATCAGCTCTTTCCTCACTACTTGACTGACTGGGTTCCCTGTATATTGTATAATTCTGTTCACTTCTTGTAAGAGATGCAGTGTTTGAAGTAGATCTTTCCTCCCTTAATATTAAATGTTTTATATCTTGATTAGATTTTTGATCACTTAATATAAAAGGCTTAGTATCTGGATCACAGTTTTCGTTACTATTTGAATGATCTACTTCCTCTTCTACTACTTCCCTTTCTACTTTCTCACTAGCATATGTAACAAGTACAGTATCTAAAGCAGATTTGTCGTCATTGAATATGAAAGGCTCAGTATCTGGAGAAATTCTTTTACTCCTATATTCGGGTTTCTCTCTCTCTACAGAATTTTCATCGCTTTCTACTGCAACAGTTATAGAGTCGGGATCAGATTTTTTCTCGCTCAACACAACAGAATTAGTGCATGAATCATATGTTCTCTCACTACTTGATTGATAAGACTCCTTGTCTGAAGTAAAGTTTTCCTCAGTGTTTATTACAAGAGATTTAGCATTTGGAGCAAATTTTTCCTCTTTACATTGATCTACTTCAGGGTTTCTGGAATTTTCCTCACTTTTTACTGTAAGAAATTCAGTGTCTGTAGCAGATTTCTTTTCACCTAATTCAAAAGGTGCAGTGTCGGAATAAAATTTATTCTCACCCGACGAAACAGATTTTGTGTATGGCTCATATGTTTTCTCTCCAATTGATTTATCAAGAACCCTGTCTATTGAAAACTTTTCACTTTTCCTTGACTGAACTGGTTCAGGGTCTTCCAATACTGGTGTTGTTTTGCTTGTCGATGAAATAGGTTTAGTTTCGGGAGAAAATTTATTCACACTTCTGGATTCAACAAATTTTAAGTCGACTAGAGATGATGTCTCCTCACTTTGAAATGTAGGTTTTTGGATAGATAAACACTTTTCTTCATTCACCGTAGAAGAGTTTGTGTCTGACACAGATTTGCCCTCACTTGTTAGAAGAGGCAATACAGATGAAACAGACTTTTCTTCATTTTTCCTAACAACAATTTTTGTTTCCGAAATAAATTTGTCCCCACCACTTACAACGGTATAATTTAATTTGAAAGCTGAATTTAATTCTCTTCCATCTGAAGCAACTTTAATATTAGATATAAGACCTTCGTTGTTACTGAAAATATTAGAGTCTGTGAGTAGTGAAAATTCTTCCTTATTTGATATGGGATTATTCACTTCTAAATCTGATAATTTTTGTGTACAAATCTCTGTCTGACTATTTAATGTTTGAATACTGGAATAATCATTAGATTTCACTTCACTATAAGGAACAGAAAACTTTGGTTCCTGGCTGCTTTTTAGACAAATCAGATCACTTGTTTCATTCTCTGGTTTAAATGAATCTGTCGGTTCAACAGAAGCAACTTGCTCTTCAGGGAAGTTCGTTCTTTCTGTATGATCTTCAGATTTTGCCTCTTCTACTAATATATCTGAACCTAAAGATTCTGAATTATCTTTATTTCTCAGATTTGTTTGCCAATCTTGGGCCTTTTCCTTGGTAAAAATAAAATCTTGGGATGGTTCTATAACTTCCTTATTACTTGTAATATGTCTATTTTCAGCAAACTGTAATTCAGTTCCTCTTCCTTTACTTACAGTGCTTTGAGTATGCAAGATACTTAAGTTGTGAGCATTCTGTTCACATTCAAGTTCTTTTGACACTGAAGATTCTTGTGATACTTTGTCTTGATTTGCAAAGGAAGATACTATTGTGCAACTTCCTGAAACTTCCTTCAATCCTTGCAAATCAGCATTTAATTCTACACTTAACTGTCTTTCAACAGGAGAATCCTTTTCAACATTACTTTTTTCAGACCTCACAATTTCTAAATGAGAAATCTCATTAGAATGTTCTGATTGTTTGCCAGTTTCACTTCTTAATTCTTTGAGGGCTTCTTTAGAAGGTTCCTTTGTGTTATCTCCTTTTTTCTGAGCAGTATCTAGTAACTTTTCCCAAATTTTAGTCTTCAATGGGCCAGTTGGTATGCTAGATGCTTTGCGTAATGGGTTGATAGGCGGAGCATGTGGCACCAATTCATTTTTTGGTGTGGTTTTCTTACTTATTATCTCTCCACTTGGAGACCAAAGAACTTCGTCTATGCTCTTTATACCCGAATCCCTGTCACCACAGGTACGTTTCTTTATGTGGCTGTCTGGAAGTGTTTTTCTACTATGAGATTTGTTTGATGGATCATCAGTTTCAAAACTCTCAAATTTGGCATCAACTGATGTATATGCAACTGGTGACACAAGAGCACTAAGATTTACGGAAGATGGGCTGCAGGTGGTTTCACATGTTGCGTTACCAGGTGGTAAAAATGTTGATTTTATTTGGGCTGATGCAAAGAGAATGCTGGATTTGTCTGTGCTTGCTATTAGCCCCTTTGACTGTCTATTGGTATCACAATGATTTCAGATACTGAACTTCCTTCAGCAATATATTTTACAGACTGAACCTCCTTCTGAACACAGGTCTCCTCCTTATCCAAGTATCTACTGGCATTCTTTAAACTATTATCTACATTACCAATAAAAGTACTTTTAGAGTCATCATTTGCAACTAATTGTTTTTTGGGAAATTCTTCTTTTTGTTTTTTACATATATTCACACCTTTCGAACACTGTTCTATAGTAAGCTTTATTTTGTGAGTTTCTGTGTGTTGGTTCAAATGTTCACTGTAGTTTGGTATATCCTGCTGTATAGTACTTGCAACCAATGTCCTTTCACTAGTCACACTTTCCTCTAATTTAGGGATTTTATCTCGATCATTTATATATGTTTCTTTTCTTTCACCTGCTACCTCGGAATCAGGTAAGTGTGCTCTCACTCTCTCAATAGTATGTTCCTCACCTATCTGTGGAATCTGCTTGAAGTCTTTAGAGATTAAAACAATATTTTCTTTGGTAATTTGTGAATCAGACTGGGGTTCACTTTGATATCTTTTCAATGTGACAATAGGTTGTAAACTGGCAGAGTTTGGTTCCTGCAATTGTAAACTCTCCTCAGGGAGCCGATTCTCACGCTTATTCAGGGAAGTCCCAAGTCCTGACACCGATGGAATGACTTTTACCAATAACTTTCTATTACTTGAATCATCAATACTTTCACTCACTAATGTCTTACACAGTTTCTGGTGACTACCAGAGGCACTGTTATCACTACTAGACTGTAAGCTCACTTCAGGTAGGCCTATACCAGATTCATGTGGTTGATCATTTACAGGTTTTTTATTATAATTATTTATATGTCTACACTTAGTATCAATAAGAAGAGATAATTCACTCTTATCACTATTATAACTTTCAATCTTTTTCTTTGGTTTCTCTTCAACAGGAATAGGCACAGGGTCAGGTAACTTAATCTTAAGAGACGGCACTCGGTCTTTGAGATCACTGTGTGGGGAACCACTAATAGGGCTAGCTTGGTAATCTGGGTCCTCGTGGCCTTGAGAGTGTCTGCCAGGCCGTTTTCGATAGCGTCGTGATGGTTGGTGACGTTGTTCCTCCTCCGATTCCTCCTCTTCCTCTGAATCCTCAAGCGATACTCTACTCAAAACTCGAGCAGCACGAGCAGAGCTTCTGCTTGGTCTGCAGCAGTTTGAGGAGGTCGAGGGTGTGTCTGGACTAGGTACTGTTGATGTCTCACTCTTCAACTTCTTAACCTGAAGGAACAAAGTTGCAATCAAATGCCCCTTCTTACTTTTCAGGAATAAGATCACTGTTATTACGGCATACTATAACCACCTTGAAATTATTTCATCGAGGCAAGAAAAAAAAAAAAGTTATGTCAGACTTAATTATGTGACCAACCCAACTATACAGCACAAAATGTAAATATAATTAATATCACAAACAGCAGAACAAACGTTTCTATCTTCCAATAATAATACACCATAATAACTGATATAGTTCAATTGCATTAGGGCAATCAACAAAGGTATCCACAGACTGGCATATCTCAGAACAAAACCAGAGTGAGGTAAGGAAAACAAGAGGTGCAAGGTGTATAAACGTGCTTGCCTAAAATGACTAAAGGGATAACGAGATACCCCACCTACTATCCTTGTTTCCCCAGTTAGATTTAAGCTTAATTTTCTCAATTTTGAATGTTATGTCATATCTACCCATAAAGTTGTGGATTGATGTGGCTTCCATGACTTCTCCTTTCAGTGCATTTCACCTGTTGACCACCTGTATATGTGAGAACTTCCCTAGATGATAATGTGTGTGTTGATGAACTGTAAGTGATGATGGTACTGTAAATGTGGGTGGTTCTGAAAGTGGTGATGGTACTGTAAATATGGGTTATATTCTATGTGGTGATGGTACCAGTATGTGGTAGTTGTCCTGCATGTATTTACCTAACATTGACTATGCCAATAACAATGATTTACTGTACTACCAGAAATTTTAACTAAATATCCCCAATTTGCTAACTGTAGGAAGTAAATGCGGGCGACTGTAACCTTTCCACCATCGCCCACTGGATGGCGAGTTGTCTTCATGATAAGAAAATAAAATTATGAAACTAGCTCACTGCATATGTTAGTTCCTTAGTTTACACTGTACAGTACTAGTGGTTATTCTCGAACCCCCGTTAACATAATATTTCACTAAAAATTACGTAACTAGCTTATCAAAACTGTAACTTGCTATCTAAATGAATTTTAGGATTCAGTTCCAGAGCCCATTATGTGCCCTAACCTCTTCCGTTACTGCCCAAAGGATGGGTATGGGGTGCACAATAAATGAACTAAATTTAATTTAGTGAACTGTTTCAATTAGTAGCCTTCTTATACCCGATGTAATATTTTATCTTTTGTGTCATTCAAATGCTTTGTCATATTTGGCCCCAAAATTGTGGACGAGGTGGTTTTCACAATGACGACTTTCAGTGCATTCCACTTGCTGACCACCCATAAAAGATACGAGCACTTCCTCAAATTGGTTTACATGTATTTCCAGCATCTACCCATGTCTTTTTGTCATATTTTCTGTCAAATACAGTGAGTCCGTCCTTGCTCGTCTTGTGTTATTCCCCTCAGTATCTTTTATGTAGTGATAATAACACCTCTGTTACTTCTTTCCTATAAACTTGCAGGACTTGGTTCCCTTTTACCTGTAGTCACAGTTCTAGTCCTCTTAATTCTCACACTGGCTTTACTGCAAACCTCTGTGCATTTTAAGTTTTAGTTTTGTGCTTCACTAGGCTATATAAATTACCCTATATAAAGGGAGCCGGTCGGCCGAGCGGACAGCACGCTGGACTTGTGATCCTGTGGTCCTGGGTTCGATCCCAGGCGCCGGCTCAATGGGCAGAGTTTCTTTACCCTATGCCCCTGTACCTAGCAGTAAAATAGGTACCTGGGTTTAGTCAGCTGTCACGGGCTGCTTCCTAGGGGTGGAGGCTGGTCGAGGACCGGGCCTCTGGGACACTAAAAGCCCTGAAATCATCGAGATAACCTCAAGATAACCACTATACCATGAAATAGTAGTTTTTTTTTTAACTGTAGTTTTAGTGCTCGCTAGCTTCCTATATAATGCCAATGTTACCCTATTTATGCGAGACTGGTGTTAGCCTATTCCCTTATAGAGTTTATTTCCTCTCGACTCCGATCTCCCTCTCCCACTCTCATTAACATTACTAGGGTTAAACAATGATTTGTTCTTTTTTCTGTTCTCCTTGCACTATTGTACAGCACTTGAGAGTTTCAGTTCCCAAATGTTCTTTTTACAATTTTGGTCTAACTACCTGCACGGTGCACATCATATATATTCTTTTTGAAAGTACCGCGTAAGATTTAGAGTCCCACGGATACACGGGGTTCACATCAGTAAACTGGGGACTCCAGTAAACAGATGCCATTTAAAAACAAATCATGGGTACCATTCCCAGGTGTGAAGGCCTCAGTATTGAGTGAGCTAACAGCACTGCTGTTCAGTGTCTGGGATACTCCCGGACGCAGGTTCGAATCCTCGTCATGGCCCTTGTGGATTTGTTCATGTATGTATGTATGTATAATGTGTGTGAACACAGTAATAAGAGCAAAAATATTCTTTTATTGTTGTATGATCAAAGTAATTGAATCACCAATATGAACACCATTTTTTTTGAGTAAAGCAATGGTTCACACATTTTGTTACATAAAAATATCACTGCCTCCACCCCCAGGAAAAAAAACACCCAAAAATAAAATAGAGAAATTATCGCCGGCGCCTGGGATCGAGCCCAGGACCACAGGATTACAAGTCCAATCGGAGACATTGAAATAATTAGGTAATAATATCTTTGTTGCAACTCTCGCCTGATGGCTCAGTTGGAGGAGACCGGCGCTGGACGTGCGCTCTTTCAGCACCTGTATCTTGTCAGACGTCTTCACCCTATCATGGTCAAAATATGTTATCTACGAATGTTGTTTTTTCCCCGTGATCAGGGAACATATTTTACAAATCTTAGCATATATAAAAAAAAAAATTCTTGCGCACAACAATGTTGTCTGGTATTAACCCTCAGGCTGCTCAGCTATTACAACAGTTTTACATTCTTGTAAAGCCACTAGCACACACTGCGTTTCAGCCATGTCCTCAATCCCAATTTCCCCGGAATACGACCCCGCCGAATCGTTAAACAACCAGGTACCTATTTACTGCTGGGTGAACAGAGGCTACAGTTAAGGATTGGCGCCCGGCCAGGATTCGAACCCAGGCCAAAGCATTCGCGAAACGCCAGGAGTGTGTTACCACTGTGCCACAGGAACTGCTATTAATAGCCTACACCACCACCAGGCACAAGAAATAAAGCTATTTTTTTCTTAAAAAAGTGTTCATTTGTGTCCCCGGACAAAAAAATCTTAGGCGACATATTTTGGCTGCAATAAGGCAAGGAAGTCTGGCAAAATTGAGGCGTTGACAGATTAAGCATCAGAGGCGGTCAGCTCAACCCGCGCTATCAGGCGGGAGTCACCACAAAGTTATTACATCTACCTAATTATTTCAATGTCTCTGATTTTTTGCAGTAATATTATTAAATAGTGTGTAGTGCGATACATTGATATAATAAAAGGGGTGACTCCTCGCTATACTCAAAAGTATTTGTGTGCATATTAGTGATTCAATTATGGTGTTCATAAAACAATAAACAAACAGTTTTGCTGTAATTACACTATATACACATTATATATAAGTATCTGCATGTTTTGTTCACCATAACAAAACACTAGTTGGTATGGCGAGTCCAAACAACAAGAATGGCCGCCACACACCACCGAACAGATGGTACCTCCCTCCATCCTTCAACACCTCACTCACCAAAATTCCTCCTCCCACCATACTGTTTTTGCTGTTATTACACTGTATACAGACATTATATATAAGTATCTACATGTTTTGTTCACCATAACTGTACAACTAAGCTGGTATGATGTCCAAACAGTGAAAACACAAAACTGCAATTCATGTGACACAGCAGCTAGCAGACGACAGCACATCACTCCCTTCCTCACCAACTACTCCCTCGTCAAAATGGCTCCTCGCAACATACTCCTTTTACTGTTATTACAATATATACACACAATATATACAAGTATCTACATTTGTGTGTGTTCACCACAGGGAACCACTAAGCTGGTAGGGTAAGTCCAGACAATAACAGGTTGCTATACAGTACAGAGTCAGCAGATGACAACACGTCCCTCCCTTACCAAGATTATTCCTCCCACCATATTCTTTGTGCTGTTATTACACTATATACACACCTTATACACACCTCTCGGACGTAAGTTCGAACCTTCGTCACAGCCCTTGGGAATTGTTCACTTTAAGGTTTTGTTCATCATAACTGTACAACTAAGCTGGTATGATGTCAAAACAACATAGTAGCTACCCTACACAGCATAATAAGTTTCACCAGCCAGCAGACGACGCCACCTCCCTCACCAAAATGTCTCCTCTCAACACACTCCTTTTGCTGTTATTACACTATATATACACGTTATATACAAGTATCTACATTTGTGTTCATCATAGTGAACCACTAAGCAGGTATGGTGAGTCCAGACAATAATAGATTGCCACAGAGTCAGCAAACGACGCTACCTCCCTCACCAAGAACATTCCTCCAACCATACTACGCACAGCGCTAATTATCACCACAATCCTGCTATTATCAGAATCCTGGTAATTTTGATCACAGTCAGGGGTCTTCTGTAATGCTATCAATCGCTAAATAATAGCAGTCACATATGGATTTTGACATTTTTAGAAAATGCTGTTGTCACAAGCTGAACAACAGTGCTGTTAGCTCATGCTGCGTGCACAAGCCTTGATTGCTCACTCGGTACCGAGGCTCTCATACCTGGGAATATTATCTACAATTTTTGTTTTTAAATGGTGTCTGTTTACTAGAGCCCTGAGGAAGCTGATGTGAATCCCATGTAGCAGCGGGACATTTAAATCGTGCACAGCCCCCTTAATTGTATATATATGACATGCACATTTCAGTGACATTTACTCAAATTGCATACAGTACAGTATACAATTTGCACAGTTTGAGGGTTAATAGCTGCACCACCCAGAGATTAAAGATCAATTTGATCGAGTCTGAACCCCCCCCCCCCAGCCTACACAAATGCTACATTTCCATGGTTGTCCCTTTTGTCCGAAT